TATCTTGTAACTCGCAATGCTTTGCCAGCTGGAGTTGTATCATTTTCCCATCCTTGCAGGGTTGTATTTGTGAGCAGTGTATGTGTCTTTTAACGTAAGCATGTTTCTGCATTGAGTAAGTGTTGTTGTTTTTTTTTTTATGTAGTAATAATTGTATGTACGATTACCATTTAAATTTAGTAGTGTGTTTGTATGTAGTGTTAGCATTTGCATGCAGTTGTGTGTAGTGTTGGCGTTTTAATTTTGGTGTGCATTTGTGTGTAGTGTTTGCATTTGAATGTAGGGTTTTATTTGTGTATTGTGTTGGTGTTTGGATGCCTGGATGTATTGACATATTCAGATGAACTGCCACACACGGATACACAAATATACTGACATAAATACACAGACACGCACACACATACTGACACAAATATGCGGTAGTTCTGCCCAGTGGCGTACATAACCGGGGTCGCGACTGCGACCGGGCTCGGCCCACCAAGGGGCAGGGCCGCCCTGCGACCCGGTATGTATGCCACTGTGGCCAGCCTCTTCCCCTGGGGGGCCCAGGAGCTGGCCACCTCAGGGCCCCCGAGGCTGGCCCTGGTATCACCCGGCAGGCTGGCTGGCAGGCGTGCGAGGGAGCACTCTCCCCTGAGTGCTTCCTGTTCAGCTCCCTCGCACGCCCGCCAGCCAGCCTGCCCGGTGACACCACTGGACCCCAGGGAATCCCCTCAGCACTCCCACAGGTAAGGAGGCTGGGGGGGGATTACATTTAAAAAAAACAAAAAAAACATGTGTTAGTGTTAGAGTGTGTGTGTTAGTGTGTCAGTGAGTGTATTACTGTGTGTCTGTTACTGAGTGTGTTAGTCTGTTAGTGAGTGTGTGTCTGTCAGTAAATGTGTGCGTCTGTTCGTAAGAATGTGTGTGTGTGTCTTACGCACTTACCTTTCTCCGGTGAAGGACTCCCTTGGCGCTGGGGATCTCTCCGCCCCGATTCGCCTCTCAGCTCCGAATGCGCATTACTCAATGCTTTCCTATGGACGTTCAGCGTCTACTCACTGTGATTTTCACAGTGAGAATCGCGGAAGCTCCTCTAGCGGCTGTCAATGAGACAGCCACTAGAGGCTGGATTAACCCTTAGTGAAACATAGCAGTTTCTGTGAAACTGCTATGTTTTCAGCTGCAGGGTTAAAACTAGAGGGACCTGGCACCTAGACCACTTCATTGAGCTGATGTGATCTGGGTGTCTGTAGTGGTCCTTTAAGTGTATGTGTATCTGCATTCACTGGCATACATACCGCGGTCGCAGGTGCCCGCCATCATGTATTGCGGCCCCAGCCCGCGCGGGGGGGCCCATGGATCAGTTTTCGCACGGGGGCCCATGGGTTGTGTGTACGCCACTGGTTCTGCCACTGATGTACATGCTATGCACCAGGAATCCCAAAATTTCCCATTGCTGCTGTACAGCAATGTATCTGAAGATCACGGCATGAGGCCTGTTATAGAAACTGGGGGCTATTGATCGACTGCCTCTAGCAGGGTATTTAACAAGATCTTAAAGGGTTAAGTACAGAGCTGTCACTGACCACTCTGCTGTATAGCTCCGAGTTAAGGGGGTACCGGTTACCATCACCTGCGATTCATTGAGTGCTTTCACCAACGCTGCTTCCGCAAAATCCTCAATATCCATTGAATGACTTCATCATCATCAATGTTCTCGAACAGGCGGTGACCAGCAGCATCACGGCAATGATTTTGAAGTTGCAGCTGCGCTAGGCAGAACATATATCCAGGATGGAAGATCATTGTCTGCCTAAGGTTGTGTTGAATGGTGAACTCGCCACTAGGCTCCGCAACAGAGAAACACCAAAGAAGAGGCACAAGAACTCTCTAAAGAAATCACTTCATGCCTGTCACATTGACCCATGTCTGCTGTAACCTCTGATAGGGAGACTTGGAGACACACCATTCATCAGGCTATCTCCTCCTTCGAGAATGCAAGCAGAGCAGATATTGAGAATAAAAAAAAAAAGAGAAAAGACCGGCATTTGCACTGACCGAATAAAACTGAGGCATATGACACTGAAACTTGACTACAATTGTTCCTATGGGGAGGTTTGGATGCAAGCATACGCACTACGTCTCAGATGCTCCTCTATGAAGCACTTTTGATTGGACCATCACCAAAGGAGGCAATGCCTACTCGATGACATTGTGGGTGGCGGCAGAGGTGGCTACCTCGGGCTGTAAATAGGTGAGTAAAATAGACTATAGACAGGGACTGTATAGCGTTAGGAATACATGTTTTTAAGTGCATGAATTGTTCCTTATGGATTTTATGATATTTTAAAGCATAGATGCATGTGATACTAAAGAGGTGGTGAGCAAAGGTCAGATGTTGCTTAACTTTTTTTCCTCTGGTACTGTAACTTGTGTTAAGGGGGCAGAGTACAGTATGTGTGCACGCGCACATGTGCTCAATAAACTTTCATTGCCCTCTCTTAAACAGTAACTTAAAAAACCCTTTTATGATGCTTACAGATTAAAGGTTATACACTACAGCAAAATGAACATCAGGCTCTGTTATTATGGGGAATCCTAAAGGTAAAAAATACAAACTCTGCACTTTTTATTTGCAGAATTTAAAGTGGAATGTCATAAGTGAAGTCATTGTACAGTAAACATTGACAAAATAAGGCAATATGGAAAAGAAGGAGCACACTGTCGCTTAAAACTGTATATTGACCAGGGTAGTGCTATTTTAAAATAAAATAGTCATTAAATTAAAGGGACACACCACTGCCCAAATACCAAAAATAAATGCTGCAGAAGCCAGTTCTGCAGTTAATGATGGGTAGGTTTTCATGGCTTAAGATAGGAATTTAAAAAAATAAAGATGTAAATGCACAGAATTTCCCTGTAACGAAAAGCCCACATTTTTATTGCAGCTTTTGGATTGGTTATTCAGTTAAAACTAAAACAAATGTTTCATTTAGGGTTGCCACCTTTTTTGGAAAAAAATACTGGCCATTCTAATTCATAATTAATTATATAAGCGTGACATCACAGGTCATCATGACATACATGAGAGAATGTAAACATTTGGAAGGAGGAAATTCCTAATTCACTAATAAACTACTTATAATGTGTTGAAAAAATCAATTAAAAATACATAGGATTTAGTGGAAATGGAAATGTGTAGAGCACTTCACAATAAATGAATGTTAATGTTTGCTCTCTTATTCGAATACAAATGTATCAGCTGGTCCTGTCATCACCACCTATTAGATAAGGAAGGCAGAGTCTATGGACTGCTGAAATTAATCTAATATAAGTTCCAATAAGTTATGAATCCAATATATATGGCTAGTAAATATGTGTAAAAAGTTAGAATCAAGCCCCTCCAAGGGTTAAAATCCACTGCAGCAGACAGATACTTTTTAAAGTTTATTGAATGATAAAAAATGCTACACACACATGTAGCTATTGATAAAAAAGGGGGTCCCAAACATGAGTTACAAAAAAGATAGCACCAGTACCAGGTTTAACAGACCTCGAGCCCAAAAGATCACTTTCTTGCCGGCCGGACATGATGCCATCCTCTGATGAAGTGATCAAGAATCACGAAACTAGTAAGGCGGCATCTGCAAACCAATACACATCGGTCCCGAGAGTGAGCACCTCTGACACGCATCCTGAGCCGCAGTGGAACGCACGCGGCTAGAAACCAGCAGCATACAGCACGAGGAAAATCCAATTCACTTCTGTCCGGCCGGCAAGAAAGTGATCTTTTGGGCTCGAGGTCTGTTAAACCTGGTACTGGTGCTATCTTTTTTGTAACTCATGTTTGGGACCCCCTTTTTTATCAATAGCTACATGTGTGTGTAGCATTTTTTATCATTCAATAAACTTTAAAAAGTATCTGTCTGCTGCAGTGGATTTTAACCCTTGGAGGGGCTTGATTCTAACTTTTTACACATATTTACTAGCCATATATATTGGATTCATAACTTATTGGAACTTATATTAGATTAATTTCAGCAGTCCATAGACTCTGCCTTCCTTATCTAATAGGTGGTGATGACAGGACCAGCTGATACATTTGTATTCGAATAAGAGAGCAAACATTAACATTCATTTATTGTGAAGTGCTCTACACATTTCCATTTCCACTAAATCCTATGTATTTTTAATTGATTTTTTCAATTAGTGTGTTTTATTTTGATTGCTTAACCCCTGGTGGTGGTTATTTTATACTAGTGATACAGTGGTTATGGTAGCCGTATCTAATCTTTATTTTTAATCTTAGAAAGATACTCTACCGAATTTGTTTGGTGTATATCTACTAAGTTTTATCATATTGTTACTTATAATGTGTGTACTTTGTCTGACTGTGAGTATAGCATTGTGTATGTGAGGCAGTGTGTGTATATACTGTCTGAATGCATGTGTGTATAGCAGTGTATGCATATTGTTGTCGGAGTATGTGTATGTTATTGTGTGTATATAGTGTATAACAATGTGTGTACATATCTCTCACCATTCTCCCACCAGACTGCTTAATACACAAATGCAGACTGCCAGTCACACGCTGCTAAATGCGCACACAGAGTGCTGAATACACACACACACACTCTCTCGGGGCATTGAAAGCAGGCCATCACAATCAGCATTGTACCTGCTTTTCAGGTCCTGCTGTCATGCTTCCAACGCCTTGTTCTGTAGCTCCTCCTACTCCTCCCATGCGGATTCTGTTAGTGGAGAGGGCAGGGACATTCTGTGACTTCCTATCCCCGCACTCTCCACACACAGCTCCGGCACTAACTAGTCTTTCTTGCTCAGCCTGAGAACACAAAACAACCTGGTGGCCGCTGCCGGTATTGCAGAACATTCACCAGTCAGAAAAATACCGGCATTTGCATTATCTGTATTTATTTTTTTAAATACCGGCACCGGCATCAAATACCGGCCAGGTGGCAATTCTCGTTTCATGCTATAATACATAAATGAAATCTGTGCTCTACAGCAAATACCCTATTTGACTCAGTCACAAGTTAAAACCATGGAAAGTTTAGTGACAACATTGAAATATGGAGTACAGCAATATTTACTGTGTAAACCACAACTAAAAGGTATCCTGCAACAGTGACCTACACCACTGAAATGCAATTAACACACGATTACACAACCTGATGAAGAGATTAATTTCACTTGAATAACGAGTCACACAAAAAAATATATTTTATTAAATAAAAAAATATCTAGAGAAATGCCCCAACTGGTACATTTTCTTGAAAACATGGCAATATTAAATATCTAAATACATAAAATTCAAATACAATATATTCAAAAAGATATACATTGGATAAGTGGTATCAGGGTGACTTCTAATGAGGCACAAACCATAAACAGACTTTAACCTGTTCAGTGCCAAACTACTGTTCAACCTAATGTACTAAAACGATTAAATGGACAATACACTGCCCAGATACAAAATCTGGAATGTAATTATGCATTTTTTCATTGGGGTAAATCTAAAAACAGCAGATCTCTGTCTGCTGCCTTTGCAAGTCTTCATCTACTAATCCCACCCAAAAATTATGTTGCTGTCCAATAACAGACTTTCCAGTGCAGCTCAATGAAAAGTCTTTGCAAGGAAGGTGCTCTGTGATATTGCTGCCTCTTGATGTCAGTGCAAAAAAGCTAACAAAACGAGGAAGTAACATGACCTGTTGTCTTCTTTTTTCAAAGCCATGTGTGTAACCAGGTTAATTTATAAAAGTGTCAATTTCTATTGAAATTCTTTTTGCAAAATGAAAAAACCAGGACATACTCTTCACACATAAAGCTTTTCAGCAAGCTAAAGTCCTTAAGGGGTCTGGAATGTACCTTCAATTACTGAGAAGGGCTCATTCTCCCTGAATTATCTCATGTGAGCCACTGCTCTGGAATTCGACAGAATTCATATCTTCTTGTATTTCTGATCCTGACATACTGGCATTAGAAAGGAGAGGAGTTTTGGTACCATTTTGATGTCTATCTCCTGAGGCCTTTAAATCACTTTCATTTGTCTTTGCAGAGAGACCTCTCTTTGAAGAATTACTATCCATTCCACCAGGGGATGCTTTGGACTTTCTACTTGTATTGCTTTTTTTGCTTTTGCTAGAATCCGTCGAAGAACATTCATTACTACTAGGTCCTTTGTAGTCATGCATGCTTCCATTTTTTACAGAGTCTGCATCTTTGGTATATTGCTGTATTGAAGTTTCCCCGCGGTTCTTGTATCCCTCTCTGTCCTTTAGTGCAACATCAAAACTTGTTCCTGCTTTGCTCTTTTGGTTGGCGTTACACAATTTGTCTGGTTTCACAGGGACAGGCAAGGGAGCAGCTGAACAAGATTCAGTCAGGCCTATGGGGTTCCCTTTTTCACCACTGTTGTGCGGCTAAAATGTTCAAAAGAATTAGAACATAATTAAACACAGAAAACAAAAGTTTGCAAACTTAACAGGGCTCTCTCTCAGCAAATGAAATATAAACATGTAAGAAAACTTGAGGTATTTTTTTCTAGTTTTTATGCTCCAGCACTAATTGGAATCAAAATACACAAAATCAATTTCAGATTAAAGCCACATCACACCAAGGAAAAATATAAAAGGCATACTGTAATAATTCAAATGCATATACAGGGGCAAGGTTAGAATTGTATTGTGCCAAGCAGTAATCACCAACTAGCTATATATAGTTCCCTGTTTAAAAATTTAACCAAAACAGTTTCTTATATGAAAAAAATAGCCAACACCATAAAATAATAAAATTAGACTATTAAAAACAAACAAACAATCTATATCAGGTGTCAAACTCATTTGTCATAAAGGGCAGAATAGAATAATGGGCAAGAGTGTTATTTGCTCTAATCAACTTCATTGATATAGTAATGTCAAGTTTTATAAGTAAGGGGAGGGTTTTGGATGCATCAAATTTTGGTTTGTGCTTAAAACCCACGTTCCAATGTGACCAAGCAATACCACTATTTACAAGCATGCACTATACCTCTTTCTGTTTGGTTCTGCTTTTGTAGAACGTTAAAAAAAAAACACTCCACACACATAAGGATATGTTTGAGGACACTAATTTTAACATTAGTTTCTAAAAACATTTAAATAAAAAATCTGCACTTTTTTAAATAACTGCCTAAACACCTCCCAGGCTGGAAGAAGGAGATTTCATCTAAGGCAAAGAAAATGTTTTTTTTACAGTAAGAGCAATACGGATATGGAATTCTCTGCCTGAAGAGGTGGTTTTGTCAGAGTCTATACAGATGTTTAAACTGCAATTGGATAAATACTTGCAAAAACATAACATACAGGGATATAATTTCTAATTAGTGCCAAGGAGACATCTGACTGCTTTTTTTTGGGTCAAGAAGGAATTTTTTCCTAGTTTGTTGCAAAATTGGAAGCACTTCAGACTAAGTTTTTTTTGCCTTCTTTTGGATCAACAGCAAAAACATATGTGAGGGAGGCTGAACTTGATGGACGCAAGTCTCTTTTCAGCTATGTAACAGCAAACATGTGGTAGCAAATGGTTGTGTTCACCCAATGCATCGGATAGGCCACAATGGAAAGTTCTTCCCCACTTTACATTCCGGTCCCGGTCTGTGTGGAACGCAGTTGCTTGCCTGCATGCTATGCTTGGGAGGTAGCTTGCCGTCTGGCGTGTGAGCTTCATGCAGTACCCTGCCCTTGGGTTCTTTGCCCTCCGGAGTCCAGGTCTTGCGAGGGTGGATGGCAGCAGGTCCACAGATCCTCCACCGGATCTTAGCTTGGTCTCGAGCCCAGTATCGGGTAACCCTCCGAGAAACTCGTTGGGAGCGTGGACGGTTCGGTGCGGTTTTTTGCCACGTGACTCTCCATTCCGGCGCATGGTCGGGGTCTCTGCTCAGCAGCCAGAGTGTAATATTCGCCATGCGGAGTAGAAGCTGGAGATCTGCTTGCTATTTTAGCCCAAAATTCCTGGCAAATCCTGTCGAAATGGGCTTCAAAACTTTCCCTCTAGGACTGGGTGACCTTGTGCGCTCACTGTTGCTTGGGTTGTGCTGTAGCAGCCATTTTGGGCACGCCATGCTGTCAGCTGTTTAACAGGGGGGAGGGGTGGGGGAGGTTTCCCTTGTGGTAGGTAGTTAGGTGCTCCCAGTATGGACCGAGATAACTTCCACCGGTCCAAATGCGCTGTGAGTACTCGCTGTCTCGGGTCATCTGGATTAGCCACAGTTGCTCACTTGTTGCCCGATCGTGTACCAGTCGATTAGCACTGAATCCAGCTTGGTATGTGGCTTGAAAAACTGATTTGTTGGTTAATTGTGCAGGAGCTATTACAGAACACGTCTGGCCATCTTGGCTGTCAGGCCCCGCCCCCCTTTTAATTCAGAATACCAAAAAAATAAAAGTTTTGAAAATAACCCTGTGCATATACAGAGCTCTAGGCAGAGGCATCAATCTTCCAATATAAAAATTATTGTGTGCACCAGTAGATTGACATGAGAGACAAGTAGAACAGACAACAGCTGTCCTCTCTTGGACAAGTAGATTTAAAAAAAAAAATTAAAAATTAATTCCAAACCCCGTAGCTCAAATAAGGACTTCCCATTGTAATAAGAAGGACATCATTAATGGTTTGACACTGTAATGCTATGCTGTTTATGCTTACCTGGCCAATTACAAAGGTTCTGTGTAGGTTTTGGTTTATCTCCGTGTGTGGGTGGTGAGATATACCAGCAGTGGTAGACATCTGAGGATCTCCTGGCAAAAGAAAATCAGACTGGTCTATGCCTGCCACACTGGCAAGCTGTCCTAAGCTGCAAATAAGAGAACATACAATATTAAGAACTCTGAAGCAGCAATAGAAAGAAAAAAGTCTTTACAGTTTGCCAAAAACTACTTAATGCCATATAATTACACAAACTAAATACTAAAAAAACATTGGGGTTATTTATGCATTAATAATTTGACAAAGGAGTGCTGCACACAAGTATATTTACGTAGGAGCTCTGTTGAGGGAGGTCCGCAGCCCACCAGGAGTCACAATGTGGGGTTAAGGCAAGAAATTATTTATTGGGGATCAACAAAGTATAAAAAAAAGATACAACATGTCGGCCTAGAAGCCTTAATCATTTATCATACAGATACATGACTAAGGCCTATAGGCCAAAACTTTGTTGTTTTTTTTTGTCCTTTCAATATTGCCTTCACCCTCACATTGTGAGGCCTGTGGTACTCTACTTCTTGTCAAATTATGATGTTCCAAAAAGTGCGCTAAAGAAAAAAAAGGGGGGGGGGACACTCACTATAGAAACCAGTGGGACAAACAGGCACATTCATTTGGTGAATCCTCTCCTTTTACATTATTGCAAAACTTTCTAGAACAGAACACTGATGAATTGCCCCCTAGTCTGTGGAACACCTGGGTGCTTATGATGATTTAAAGGTGTATAACCACCATTACTACGTGCAGCTTGAATTGCACTGCCACTGAATAGCAGCGCGCCTGAAATGGGAAGATTAAATGTTCCCTCCCTGCATCCCTGCTTTCTGTTTTACAGCCCATTCTTTCCTCTTTTTTTTTTTTTAATGCTATTCCCTCCTTCACTACGCCCCACTCCCTTCCCGACTTACAGTGCATGCATGAGCTCTGAGCCGGTATGAAAAGATGAAAAGTCCAATTAAATGCATCTTTTTGAGGGAAGGTAAGAGTGGCATCGGACGGAGCGTAGAAACGTTTGAGGAGAGGTTTGCAAGAGTTTGCAGGCAAGTTTTTACAGGTTAAGGGATTAACAAAGGGAGTGTACATGGTTAGTAGTGTCCAACAGAGCAGTATAGATTAAAGGACCATTTAAGTCACTCAGGCAAGTTCATCTCATGAAGTGGTCTAAGTGTAGTGGTTCTTTACGTTTAACCTTACAATATAAAACATTTAAATTTTTTTATAGAAACTGCAATGTTTACCAGTCCACCTCAAGTGGCTATCATATTGGATTTTTACTCAGCACTGGTCAATTAAAACACGGTCACGTGATATGAAAGCATCGAATCACAGTGTTCCTATGGGGGGGCTTTGATGTACGTGCGCACTTGCTGCACATGTGCATCAGGTCTCCGGTACACCTCTATGAGGCCATGCCTCCTCCATGACATCTCAGAAGGTGAAAAAGTCAGCCTTGGTGCTGGAAAATGTGAGTAAAAAGCTTTATTTGCACAGTAAAAAAGGGTTTAGCAACCTTTTAATCTTCATTATCATGTACAGACCACATCATATATTCCATTTCTGAGGGATGCACGATTTGTAAGTGGTAACTCACACTAGGTTACTCTCATAATGTTGACGTTTTTAGAAGCAAGACATGAAAGAAAACATTTTCATTTTTATTATCTGAATCTTTTTGATCTCAACACTTTTACAATCTTCACAAGATTTTTAAGATGTTAATACTGCCACACCTCCCCCCCCCCCTCTGTTCTACTGGTCAATGTACAGTAGATCTTAAAAGTCTTGCTGTCTTTCTTATTATCTCATCATTGTATCTAAAGCAAGTTTTACTTTGCTTGGTACAATGAAGTGATGTTAGCAGTCAGAATCGATAAACAAGAGAGTTGTTAAAAAGCAGCTTCCTAGGATTATAAATATCAGTTATGCATGCATTTGAACATGTGAGGTAAGAAAAGGAACATTAACATTTTATGGCTTTTCTATATAGTCTTTATATATGGTCTGGAAATTAAATAGGCTCTGCCACCCCAAAGATTTTCAGGGTTTCATAATTTTTTTTAATGAAATGCTCATTAAGACAATGCGGAATTAATTTCATTAAAATTCCAACACCGTCAAAAATATATGGACAAGGCTTGGCTGTAAGAGTAAGGCATTGGCTCACTGAACACATGACAATATCTATATCGCCTCCCGCAGTATCCTTGATAGACATTAGTGTTGTACTGTATTAAAGATGTGTGCTCCTAGTGGATGATGTGAAAGGAACTGAAGAATTTAACAACCAACTGGTGTCAGTACACTCTCTAATAATACTATAGAGGGTCAATTATGTATAATTCCCCCTCTATATTGCTATGTAGGCATCCACATAGAGTGACTCTTATATTAATGGACTGTTGGTGGAAGCATTAGACTGCTAGGCTTCGTATCATCCAGAGTTTAAATGTCCAGGAAAATAGTAATCATAGTGCTTTGACAGCAGAGGGTATTCCTACTGCTGTTAATACCACTATATATATAGAGGATATATGAAATGATGGGGTTAAGTTATACCCCTCAACTCTTCTGTCACCTTAGGGACATTTGGCCTATGCTCTATACACTGGCAGCAGGCGTGATGATTGACTTTGTGACCTGTCAATCAATTTCACGCCAGCCGCGATGCCGGGGGGAGGTGTGTCCGATCGTGCACCCTCCCACTACAGTGATTGACTTCGGTATTCCCCAATGGTCACACACCGTAAGATATGACGTGGCAAGGGGGAGAGTGGTGACTTTACGTCACTCACCCATCCCCTTTAGCACGTTGGATCAGCTGGAAGGATTTCTCCTTGATTAAACAGGTACTTAACTGGCTTAGTGGGACATGCACATGCAATATCTCCTGACAACGGCGTGTATTCACGCTGAAACGCGCGTCGAGTGCTTTCTTTATTTATTATTTTACACTAGGTAGCACTTAGGTAGTCAGTATGTTTGGTCAAGTTAGTTAGTTTACCAGTTTGTGTAAGGATCTCTAGGCAGGCAGTTTTGGTCCTGTGGGGTTTCTCTGGACTCAGGGTTTGTCCATACCGGATCTGTCTGCCCCATTTTAGTTTACAGGTTTCCACTTGTCTGCCTTACGTCAGTGGGGGTATCTCATGTATATATTTCTTTTGGGTTGCTTGCTTTTGTCAGTCCACTCAGCCTGTGTGTCCTGAGATTTGGGAGGCATTGCCATTCATGTTGGGATGAGTGGTTGGACCCCTTTTTACCTCTCCACATACAGTGTGACACTTTTTGCTGTGGTTTTTTGGGGATATCTAATCCCTCCCAATTAGATAGCAAGCTGTGGGTGGTATAAGGTGAAGATATGGTTAATTTTGTCTATTCCCTTCCACCTTACCATCCATTTGCATTTGACCCCCCTCTCCTACTATCTGGTAACCATATTGTTTCTTCTGTGTGCTCAGAGCTACTTCTGGGATCCCCTTGTTTCAAGGGTCTCTTCATCTTATGTATTCAGTATAAAATAATTTATTTTCAACAATGAAAAATATTGATAGCTTTCCAATAATAGTATGTATACAAAAAAAAAAGTTTCAAAACACAGAAAATTGTCAAAATACATTAGTGAATGATATTTTCAATTCCAACTGTTCTCTAATAGATTATGGTTTATAGTCAAAACACTTTTCACTGCAGAGCCCAAATAATAATCCTATTACACACAAGACCTGATTTGCACTCTTAAGTTGTCCGAGGAATTGTTATCCAACAGAGTTAATGAATACCGCATTTGGCAGAGGGGAATAAATGTAAATAAAATATATGCAGCATGTAGATATGTGAAGGGTGTTAGATCCTTACTAACCATTATATCCAAAATCACATCAAAACATTTTAGTTTAATAAATATGTAGGTGAAAGAATAAAAGACTCCTCAAAAAATGTTTGTTTGTTTTTTAAATAAAAACTCTGAGATAACTTATCACCTTTAAAATCCTTATCACACTTAACCTTAACATTACTGTCTATCTAGTAAAAAAGCAGTGAAGGATGATTTGACTCACTTTTTTTTAGCGGTTTATGCCACACCTTCAATAGTTTCAAAAGATTTATAAAAGACAAACCATTTGCTGCTGATTGGGGCCATGAAAAATTCAAACATTGTTGATGGAATTCAACAATGTCCAGATCTTATACTAAGGCATTGAACGGGTTTGAATGTGGTCAGATTTTAGCTGGGCAGAATGACACCAGAGGACTAAAATACAGACAGGATTAATTAAACATGGGTCCAGTGATGGAGCCTGTGAAATAACACCAGTGGGCACTGGGTGGTCGCTTATTTTAATATTCGAATGTTGGAAGGATCACGACACAAGCTGCTCGGTCTGCAATCCTTCACCTTCCCAATAAAAGTAATAATAAATTAGCTTACCTACCTGCTCACTGTAATAGTGAGGGCAGTCCAATTCAGCTAATACCTGTTGGAAAAAAAATGTATACTTACCATCAGAGGTTTTCTTCCTCCTTATCTTCAGTCCCCAAAAAGGCAAAATAAAAGTTCAGAGTAACCAAAGCAAAGCGCCAGAAAAAATAAAAACCATGCCAGAATAAAAAAATAATCCATCTTCACCAATGGAGGGCTTGCTACAATGTGACCTCTGATGGTGGGGAAAGTCAAACCAATTGGTGCGCTCAACAGCATATTCTCGAGAGAAGTCTCACTTGGCTGTCGGAGTGCTCTTAAGACATAGACTAAAATATAAAAGCTGTGTCTTTAAGACAATATTGTGATTTTCCACACAGCAAATGCGTGTGAAATAGCTACAAAAAGAGCATTCAAAAGGTGCATCAAGCAAAAATCATGGTACAAAAGCTTCAACATGTGCAAAAGTTCAGTATTTCAAAGTGCACCGAGTGAAATAAAAAAAGGGCACTTACTCAATATACACTTGTAAAAATCAGATACGCGGGAAACACAGTGTTTTATCCCAAGTCACTTGGTATAACATAAACGGAAAGGGAAAATAGGTGTATAGTGTAATACACATTATGGATTGTAAAATATTTTGCAATGTATAGGTGATATGCCATTAGTTGTTTGGACTATGTTTTATATATAGGACATTGGCTGCAACCATCAAATGATTCTTTGGAATATGTTCCATAAGGATTGGATAACTTAAAAGGTCCTATCTGTATTGGACTCCCTGAAGAGTTCCAAGTAAAGTGCCAGCAGACAGAGGATCGCTGTAGTTGGCAGCAAGCCAGAAGAACTGCAGGACCAGATAGAATAGATATTTTTCTGAGGAGGTGCTCATTGGTGTATTTTAATCCTGCAAATTAAGGTTTGCAAGAATTTGTGCTGCTATCCCGTTTTACCTATAAATCTGGGTCCCATTAAGTAATTTATTATAAGAGTGCTTATCGTTGGAGCAGACTCTTTCTGCTCTGTTTTCTGCTTTCTAATAGGTGAAGATGTATTATTTTTATTGCATTGCACTTGATTTTTCCAGCTTTTTTTTTTTTCTTCTTGTATCAGGTTTTATTTTATTTTTATTTAGCAGTGTCACTTATCCTGGACTTTTAAATGGCTTTAAAATAGGTTCTTTTCAAACACGAACCCTATATAAACTATAGGATCTGCAATATTTGCAAAGCACCATTGTTGTACAGTTCAAAAGGCAACGTAGAAATTGGATGGTTCTGCCTTGTTCAGTACTGGGTCATTCTAACATTAATGAATAGACTACATGTCATGTAAACATTTTCTTTAACCAGCCAGCATTTGAGAATATATTGGTATTTTAGTTTCTTTTTTAATATGAAAAAGTCAGTAATGTCAAGTAAATGTTAGAATGCCTTTTTAATCTAACTAACAAACTAATCAATCTGTACAGGATTTACCTGTGGAGACAGGCGTAGATTAAAAAGAATATGATTGTTTGTACCAGCTAAAAAGAATTTGAGTACAAGTTCATCCAGGATTTACCAATTGAGTCGGGGGTAGAGTAAAAGAAATGTGATTGTTCGTACCAATTTAATGAATTTGTGCTTTAAAATCTGTTGGGTACTATTGTTAATGCATATGGTTGTATAACTCACCCTGCATCTCTCAAGAGATCCAAAAAAGCATGAAATTTCTTAAAAGATTTCTCAATGCTTTCCAGAACATCTTCATCTTCCAAGAGTGAGGAGCTTATGGTTCGTGTTTGAAGGGCATCAAAAAGACTCTGATTAATTTGCCTTAGTCGATTATTTTCCATTTCCAACTGAAACAAAACACTAAATTAAAACAGGACAATGTATATTTGCTTGTAGTGATTAAACAAGGTACCAGCAATGAAACAGCTACAGTTAAAATGTACAAACATTAAAAGTATACAATAGAGATATAAACTAAAATACAACAATAAAAAAGGATTATGGTAACCAAGCTTGTCACTAGGTTAATTGACTACTTCTGTCTAAATAAAATTAATATTTTTAAATTCTTGTACAGTGTGTCTACACTGGCAATACCACCACAAATGTTTTCATATTAGGGATAAGCGTTTACTGGATTTATAGTTCAACAGTCAGAAATAAGGTCAATCCTAAATAAATGTGAAAGTACTTGATAATGAAACAGAACCTGCGGTATGTCTTGTATTAGCTTAATGAGCATCATTGTTCAGGTTTGTTTTTCCACAAATGCAAATCAATCACTCATGTGTTGTACAGGATTAGTTTACATGAAAATAAAATGTTAAAATCCTACGCTGACAAAAAAAATAAAATGAATAAAATGTAAAAAAAATGCGAGCTACCGTTGTGACGAACTGAACCTCGTCACTGGTTCTTGGAGGGGCCTGCTGGCCAGCCTCCTACACTGTGAATATGGCCCCCGTGTTAAACCCCTTTTGAAACCACTGTTTGTGCCTCTTGGACTTGTAACAGGAACACTTCGAACTTTCGAAACAGCACTTCGAACTCCCGAACGGTCGAAGCGGTTCGAAGCGGCACTTCAAACACGTGGCAGCGGCCATCTTAAGCAGCAAGTACAATGGGCGGTTTTTGGTCGTCGAGTTCATGGAACTCAAATCAGACACTCGACGGCACGAACACCGATAACAATTTTTTTTATAGCTACCTCTATTTTTCTTACTGCTAACTATTTACCTTCTATGGATGTTCAGCTATTCGAACGGGAGTCTAATGGCATTCGGTAAGAACAAACTCCCGAAGGAGAGACATAGACAAAGTGCCATACGAATTCTCTACTTCGAATCCACGTAGAAGTAGAATGACCGCACAGCTTAATTCTCTGGAACTGTTTTGTGCATGGGACCATGCGTGCGGTCGATCAAAATGTGACTTCCAGGAAATTCCTGAATCCCTGAAACGATCCGGGTTATATTTGGATATGTTGGTCACCCAGATATGGGCTATCAGGGGATGTTACGTGTTTTGGGGTACTTTTGGGACTTTAAAGAAATATGTATTTTTTCTGCCTGGAAATTAATTGGGTTAATACAGTATCTGACTCAATTATCTCCAAAGCAGAGGGGAGGTATTGTATGCTAGGTGGGGGAGTGTCGTGCATTGGAATACTGTTCTTATTGGTCTGTGAATATTGTAACTTAATTCCCAACAAGGTCCATGTGGGCGTACCCCTTGCATGGGTATTGTCATATATGGACAAGTTTAGCTCCCATTAAACAGAGATTCGTTTACCCCTTCATGAAGTCTTGGCTCATGTTTGAGGGATTGGAGAACTACATTCACTCTGGGATTGCTATATCACAATCCCCTGAGTATAATCACTAGCTCTTATAAGAGCTGTTCCTGCTATGCTCTCTGGGTTAGGAGAGGTCTATCCACTGGAAGCTGGATTTTGGTCTTAGGTTCAGGGTGGGTGGAGGACAGCGAAACCCCCAACCAAGCTGCAGCGGTTCAGGTGGTTTACGGTGGTTATGGTGTTCCAGTACAGTTCTTATAGTGCTCGCAAGTACTAGTAAGCAGCGACTGACGGAGGTATCCGGTCGGGGTGCCAGGCAGTCCGTTACAACCATAATCAAGTTTCAACTCTTGCAACAGCAGTCGCTAGCGATGGCTGTGAGAAGAAGGCATTGTCTCTCTCACCGAAAGATAATAGCTATAGACACTTGAGTGGTCTCCTCCATAGACATTGGTTTTGTACTTTCTCGCATGTGCACAAACATTGGCTTCTGGAGGCCAGGAGCTGAAGAAGGAAGATAGTTGCTTCTGCAGAGGACAGCATCAGGTAAGTAAAACTCACCATAGCTGCACCCACAGGCTACCACATCCCAAGCAGCAATTTCACCATCAGGGTGACAGACACTTGAAGCAGGCACAGTCTAATCTGAAAACCCATGTGCTGTGTATGGCTCAATATGGTCATTCTATTGCTTCCCAAAATGGATCAATTAAACAGACTATTTCTTACAGAAAAAAAAAAAAAAGGAAAATCCCAGAGCATTTGACAGTAACAGAGATTTGCAAAATCTAATACAACAGTCTATCATGGCACAAATGCTTTACCATGCGAATGAGAGTTGCTTTCCTTAAAAATAAAAATAAAATGTTGAATACCTCAGTTATCCTTTCATCGGCTTTTAACCTTGTTTTCCTTTCCTCGTGCAACCTTAGTTGGCAATCATTTAATTCCACCTACAGAAGCAAACATAATAAATTGAATAATTTATTTGTATCATGGTGATTTATTGTTAAAGAACTTTTGGAACCTTTAAGACAGGGTCTGGGAATATATTAACATATTATATATAAGCAAACTCTGCAGTAGCTAAAGGACAAATCAAGCTTATTTTTCATAAATGTATGATTTAAAGTTAAGCTTGATAAGGATTGATGAATTGCAGACTTCTAATTTGAAAGAGGTCATACAACAGCTCACTCCAATACTTTCTGTGACATGGGGAATATAGATGCTATACTTATAAAAAACAAACAAAAAACTTCTATCTCAAATTGTGTTTATTCATCAATCAGTAATGTGACTTGGCAAATCCTCCTAAGGGAGCACTTTAGTCACCAAAACCACTACAGCTTTATGTAGTGGTTCTGATGTCTATACCATGTCCCTGCAGATGTTTCAATGTAATCACTGCCTAAACAGAGAGATACTGTGTGAGTGTGAGTGCCCAGAAACACCTCTAGAGGCAATCACTCAGACGGAAAGTTGGGGTGCTTCCTATCTCAGTGCTGCACAGTGTGCATTAGTCTTAGAGTATGCCATTACATCTGAAGTGACAGTTCCTCGTTAAAAGCAAAGTTTTGGAAATAAATCGTAATGGGAAATGGTGTTCAAAAACAATCCAAAGGCTGTAAGTTGCCATGTTTTGTTTGCTGATAGTATAAAGTTCAGTCTTTTAATTAAAAAAGTAAAAAATATATAAATTCTGAAAGGAGAAAGCATATGCCATAAATAATAAAATATATTTAGATTTTGAAACTTAGCAAAAGTCCTGAACAGTGGTTTATTAACTCTGTAAGTTGGGTACTAAATAAGGTGAATCTTTGCATCTTGCAATCTTCGGAAAAAATCCTAAACAGAGTAGCAAGTACCTCAATCTAGAACAGATGTGTCCAACCCACGGCATACATTTGACCCTGCATCTCTTGTAATGTGGCCCAGTTGCTGTATGGACTGCTGGGCAGCGAGGGAAACAGGGAGCCTATTACTTACTGTGTTCTTTGTACACACCTTCCTTGCATGCCCCGCAGTTACCCGGCAGCTTGGATAAAACATCATTCAGGAAGAGCACAGTGTTCCCATCACAGCAGCAACCACTGCCCATCAAAGAGAGGATCCACTCCAAACTTTCCAGAGCAAGGTAGGGAGGCTGGGTGGACCTCTTAATTACTTAATGTGCATATGAATGTGATTTTTGTGTGCGTATGGCAGTAATTATGTGGATCTGTGATTGTGTTTGTGTATGTATGTCTGTGTGTATACAGTTGTGTTCAAAAGTTTGCATACCCTTGGAGAATTAGTAATATATGTACCATTTTTAAAGAAAACATGAGTGAGCAGGCAAAACACAGTTCTTTTATTTCTTATAGTATTCATATTCAACTGTAGGTTATAACAGAATGGTGCAATCACAAAATAAAACATGGCAACAAAGAAAAAAATGAAATAACCGCAGTTTAAAAGGCCACTCCAAAACCTTCACCTTTTTCTGCTGTAACCACTGGAGGGTCAAATTGGCCTGATGCGTGGGGTCATTGTCAAAGTCCAAGAACATCCCATGTGCAGCATTCGTGCAAAAGAATGCAAATCGCCTGCCAGCATTTTTCTGATGCTGCATTCATCTTGCCATCAATTTTAACAAGATTCTCTGTGGGAATGATATCGTGGCCGTCTTTAACGCAGGGCAAACAGGGCAGCTGCCCCGGGCCCAGTTTCTCCTGGAGGGCCCAAGGCACCTGCCCCATGGGCCCCGCTGCCCTCATCAATTTCTTTTTTCCCCCGTCCTCTGAGTCCCACCGGGTGGCCCATGCACTTAGGGCCACCTGGTGGGCTTGTATCAGCAGGGGCCCGGTCGGGCGCTGTTGCTCTTTAACACCGCAACCGGGCCCCTTGCTTTCCGGCAGCCGGCTAGGAGGAAGTGACAGCCGCAAGTCACTTCCTCCCATAAAGAGAGGAGCTGCACGGAATCTGGCAGGAGGAGGCTTCAGTAAGGTTGGAGGATCCTCACTCCCATCAGCCTCATGCACCACACTGGACCCCAGGGAAGCCACCTTCCAGCAAAAGGTAGGAAACTGGAGGGTGGGTTTCAAAATTTACATTTTACATGTGTGTCAGTATGTATGTCTGTGTGTGTGTGTGTCAATATGTCTGTCAGTGCATGTGCATGCATCAGTATATCTGTCTGTGTGTGTCAGTGCATGTGTCAGTATTTCTCTCAGTGTATGTGGGTGTCAGTATGTGTGTGAGTATCTCTGTCAGTATGTTGATCAGTGTATGTGTCTGTGTGTTTGTGTCAGTATGTCTGTATATGTGTCTGTCAGCACGTCTACCAGTGTATCTGTGTGTGTCAGTATGTCTGTCAGTGTATGTGCCTGTTTATCTGTATGTAGTCAGTGTATGTATCTGCTTGTATGTCAGAGTTTGTACCTGTGCATCTGAGCACCAACTTTAAATACAAATACACCCCTCCATTCAAACTTCAACACTACATACAAACACACTCCTGCATTGAAACATCAACACTACTTACAAATATACCTCTGTGTTGAACACCAGAATTATATATAAACACACCCCTACATTCAAAAACAAACATCAGACATAAATGCACACTTGCATTCAAACTCCAGTACCACATACAAACACATTCACACAAACATACTCCATACAAACACATGTTTACATTCAAACACACAAACATGGCTCAGTGCGAAATACAACCCTGCAAGCATGGGAAATTGGTAGAGCCCCAGCTGTCAAAGCATTGTTGGAATTGCACGACAGATGGGGGTTCTACCTTTAGTCCAACCTTGCAATTGGGGGTCCCAATAAAATTATTTCTACTTTAGATCCGCCACTGCGTTGGGATGGATGCTGTGATTGCATGCCAAGGAGTGACGGGCAAGGGCGGCAGGGCCCAGGGGGCCCAAGCAAACGCTTGCCCAGGGTCCAATCATTATTAAATACGGCCCTGATGATATCACTATAGGCCTTGATAACCCCTCTCCAAACATAGCACTTCTGGTGTTGTGACCATAAAGTTCAGTTCTGGCTGAAATCTTTTTTGGTCTACCCGACTTTAGCTTGATATCAAGAGCTCCCTGAATTTTCCACTTCTTAATACATGATTGAACAGTACTGACTGGCATTTTCAAGGCTTTGGATATTTTTTTATATCTTTTTCCATCTTTATCAAGTTCCATTATCTTGTTACACAGGTCTTTTGACAGTTCTTTTCTACTCCCCATGGCTCAGTATCTAGCCTGCACAGTGCATCCACATGAGAGCTAACAAACTCACTGACTATTTACACAGATATACACAGATACTATTTGCAATTAAAAAAAGCCACAGGTGTGGAAAATTAACATTTAATTGCCATTTTAACCTGTGTGTGTCACCTTGTGTGTTTGTAAGAGGGCCAAAAATTCCAGGGTATGTAAACCTTTGATCAGGGCCATTTGGGTGATTTCTGTTATCATTATGATTTAAAAAGGAGCCAAACAACTATGTGAAAATAAATATCCATCAATAAAATATTTTTGTTTTGCAAGATCAGTCATATTTTCAAATTCATTTGCCAAAATTTCACAATTTCTGCCAGGGTATGCAAACTTTTGAGCACAACTGTGTTTGTATGTGGGCGTTTGTGGGTCTGTGATTGTGTTTGTATATGTCTGCGAATATGTGTGTGTGTGTACTGGTCTGTGGTTAAATGTATAATTATACATGTGTATGTGTTTAGTAGATGGCTCCCTAATTTGTATCCTTAAATATGGCAATCCCAGAAAAGGGTAACAAATAAGGGAGTTAGCTACTAAACAAATGAAATATCAGCATTAAAGGGACACTGTAGGCACCAGACAACTTCAGCTAATTGTAACTGCAATGTTTACATGTTTACATTGCAGCACTAAATCTGCCCTCAGTGGCTGTTTACTAACCAAACTTTTGGTTTCTGATCTGACGCTGGACGTCCTCACAGACCTCCAGCGTCAGATTTTCCCCATAGAAAAGCATTGAATAATACTTTACTATGGGAAGGTCTAATGCACGTGCGGCCATTGCCGTGCATGCGAATTAGGTCTCCCCCGCCGGCTGATGTCGCTGAGGGACATCGATGCTGGATTCAGGTAAGTGGCTGAAGGGGTTTTAAACCCATCAGCCCCGCGGGAGGGGTGGGGCATGAGGGAGGGGCTAACCTATTAAACCTATAGTGCCAGGAAAACAGGTTCGTTTTCCTGGCACTATAGGATCCCTTTAAGAAAAGGACTTTTGACGTTTTATTATATAAATCAAATACATTATATATATTATGTGCGGCCCCAGACAATTCCTCTTCGTTCAATGAAGCCTGGGGAAGCCAAAAGGTTGGACACCCATGATTTAGAACGTAAAAGCAGTTCACCATTTGCATCCTACCTGCAAACGCTTGAGTTTTTTTGTGTCACTTTTCCGAAGGGATTCTACTGCTGCCAAATCAGAAACATCCAAAGAACTATCTGCTTCTTCACTTTCAGAAGTGTCACTGTTCACCAAAATGTGCACTCCTGTACCGGTCTAAAGTAAAAAATTATTTAATTTTTATTTATTTTTACATATTTTCCCTATTAAAATAAATAAATAACACATATATATATATATATATATATATATATATATATATATATACACACACATACACACACACACACACACACACACACACAAAATGCTGATGAATAATCTTTTGAAGTAACATTTTTTATTTGGGGCAGGAGGGATATTGGTGGCAGGGAATTTCTATCACCACCTTTACTAGAACTAGGAATCATAAACGGTCAAAGACTGCTGATGTGTGAGAGGATAAAGGTTAGATTGTGCTGGAGGTGACACTTGTTACTGAATGACAGATTTCCATTTCCAGGGATTCAAAATCAATAAGGCCATTAATCACAACAAGGAACTTAATGCAAGATTGTATGATTTTTAAACCTAACAACACTGTAACACGAGGGTTTGGATCTCATAACATGCAAAAGTCAAGCATTATTTGACAAAAGCCAAGATGACTTTATGTTTCTAGAAGCACAATGCCACTAAAAACTAAGCCACTTGGGCTACTGTTGGGTTGTCAGCAGCACATTTTATAAGGGTGTCTTCCATATAGAGAGTATCGTTTTAAATATTTTTACACAGCCATATATTACATCTAAATTACATCAAATAAACTAAAACATTTAAAGGGACACTATAGTCACCAGAACAACTACAGCTTATTGAATTTGTTCTGGTGAGTAGAATCATTACCTTCAGACTTTTTGCTGTAAACACTGTCTTTTCAGAGAAAATGCAGTGTTTACATTACAGCCAAGTGATAGCTTCACTGGCCACTCCTTAGATGGCTGTTAGAGATCCTTCCTGGGTCATGGCTGCCTAAAATGCATCCAAACATTTCAGTGTCACCACCCCCTGCAAGCAGACACTGAACTTTCCTCATAGAGATTCATTGATTCAATTCAACACTATGAGGAGATGCTGATTGGCAAGGGCTGTGTTTGAATTGTTCTGGCTCTGCCCCTGATCTGCCTCCTTGTCAGTCTCAACCAATCCTATGAAGAAGCACTGTGATTGGATCAGGCCACCAATTTTGATGATGTCAGCAGACAGCTTGTTTTTCTGAGGCAAACAGCATGCAGACCTACAGCTTCAGGCATGAATTCAAGTAAGATTTTGCTATATTTAGGGAGGCATGAGGAGCCCAGGGGGGCTAGATGGTGGTTTTAATACTATAGGGTCAGGAATACATATTTGTGTTCCTGACCCTCTAGTGATCCTTTAAGTTACGACATTACCTAACAAAAATGCAAACTTAAACAATGGTGATTAAAACAACATATTTTTGCTCTAGTGATAACTGGGTATATACACAAATTGTTTTCACGATTGTTGTCTTCAGCTAGATTACCAGCTTACTAAATTACACAAAACAGTTAGGGATTTTAATAGGGAAGATGAAGGACCATTTGGGCCTACAAAAGGGTATACCTGGCAACCTTTGATTGAAGATAGAGGACATGGCTGGAAGTGGGTCAGAGAACATTGCGAAAGTATGAACTCTTAACTCCAACGTACTCAATGACGAACAACCTTATTTTGCTGTAAACATTTTATTACTGCACAGGGTACATCAGTCTGTAACAACACTTGTCACTACAATGAGAGATTAAGTTTTAAGTGACATTTTTCTAGTAAATCAGTTTTCAGAAAGGCGCTTATCAAATAATATATGACTTTTCCAAATAAATTATATGTGTGTGACAGTCTGTCTTGGGCAGAATTGAACAGAAGTAAAAAATAAGTAACAATGGCCACAAGTCTCATAATCAGCATACTTTAACCTAAATTTTGAAAGTCACTTTGCTCTCAATTTGAATTGCAGGCAATTCAGCTTGAGTACATAAGTGATTGTGCTAGCATTTTCAGAATAAGCATTCCCAAGATATTTTCATGTGAAAGTGTCCTCCATTTTGTGACAATTATTGCCATGATGTACCTATGTTAACACCTAGTCCATACCAGGTAATATAATCATGTTGATGGCTACAGAATAAACACAAACTCCCAGCTATGTTTATGAGAACCTTTGCCTGCCACATTGACAATGTTGAAGCAATCGTTAAGCATTTCTGTCTGCCATGAAGACCCTTCCACTATCAAACAGTAAAATGCTAGTGAAATATAAAAATGCATTAAACTTTTAAAATATTTATAAAAAATAAATAAAAAAATAACAGAAATAGACTTAAAAAAATAATTAGGTAATAGAGAGTTTTGAAATAAATTTTACATTATGTCAGTGTTAATACTTTAACTAAGAGTCTCTATAATATACAGAACTAAATTACATAGGCATGAAAACAAAATGCACCATATTTTATCTCATAAAAAAACGTTTCCAACAGAGCCCAGTCAGAGAAATTGGCTCTAGTTAACAGTACCTTACAATCTTTCCAAAATCATTAGTTTGCTGTTAAAGTGGATACAATTGTGCCATAAATAGTGTGTCAAGTAAAGTAACACTGCCCCCTAGGGGAAATAGCAAAAGGGATCAAATATATAATAAAACTGTGGGATTCACTGGGAGGAAGCACAAAAGTATTATGAGTGGCAAAAAAAAAAAAAAAACCTTAAACTTTATTCTCAATTATACAAAACATAATGGTCCACTTAAAAAGAAATTATAAACAGTATTAAAACAGTGGTATAAGAGGTGGGTGGTGTCCACCTCTGGACAGGTAGGGAAGAGGGTATTTACAAAGAGGTAGAAGTACACTGTGTCCCAAAACGCCAGAGAGGGAACCAGGAGGTTGCAAAAGATAAAGGTACTACAAATTCCCCATTAATAAAAATCTCTCGCTGTCCCTATATACATTGGCACCGCACAGAGCTAATGCCTACCTGAACCAGTAACCCTGAACACTCAAAACAAAAATTCAAACGTTCATAGTGTTACCCAAATGCAAATTAAGAATAAAATAGATCGACGCGCATTTCAGCATGCTAAAACGCCGTCATCAGGAGGCAGTTGCGTCTTGTTCTCCCTCTCACCTGCCGGTTCATTCAGGGCTGGCGCTATCCAAGCTATGTGCCTTCACGGACCAGAGGGGAGATCAGAGATCTTCCTCGCCAGCCCACAGCCACCTCGCTTGAAAGTTGGGAGGGGAGGGAGTGAGGAACCGGATGCTGTAACGTGCAGCTCCACTGGGTTGTCTTCTCGCAAGCTCGGAGCATTGTCGTGGTTACCATGGCAACACTCCAAATCTTGCTAGAGTGAACTCTAGCAGAGCTGCAGGCTAGAGTTTACACCCTCCACCAGGATCATCAGGGATTGCCTAAATATTTATTTTAATAAATAATAAATAAAAAAATATATAGATACACACACATATTATATATATATACACACACACACACACACACACTCACTTTGACCCCTAGACCCCAGTACTGCCAACACATTACACACTGCACCCCTCACACACAAAATTATTTTAATTTTAAAAAGTATATATTTATTAATCTGCCACCGTACACTCCCCTCCTACTCCCTACACATTCACACACTGCACCCCTCACACACACACTAAAGCTCCTATGCAAAACCACAGGCCCTAACCCCTACTACAGCCCCTACACCAGCAGACCACAGGTAAATTGCCAAACTGTTTTTAAACTGTTTGACTACTTACTCTGGAGGGGGCCATGGCACTCCTGGCACCATAACCACTACAGACACCTGTAGTGGTTAGTGTGCCTGAATCTACCAGTGCCCCTCCCCAGAATAGAAACCAAATCCGGCCCAGCGAGACACAGCACCATGCTGCTGGCGAGACCCCGAGGTTGAGACCCTACAGCACATGGGTGCTTTCTTGTCACTAAGCCTTATGGATCCTAACCCGTGCTTAGGTACCTGCAGAAATGCAGAATGCAGTATGAAGCACAATGTCTGTGCTCATTTGCATGTCAAGTTGGGAACTCTGTGATAGTTGTGGAAACAAGATTTCTCAAGGTTCTGTGCCCAAGGAGGACTTCCAAAGTCTTTATTGTACCTTTTATAGGAATGCAGACATATTACATTTATATTGGTGTGTCAAATGTCTTACCTGTGATGGAGAGCTTGGAGACCAATCTGGAGATTTTTCCCTAAGGAAGAAAGAATGTACGGGAAGTTTTAGACAATAGTATCACATAGCAAGCCATATTTGAAGATATATTGTAACATCATGTATGCATGCATTACTGAAACAAATAAGCCAAATACTTAACCTGCGCCTGTTTGCTCTCTCTGCAGTTCTCCATGGGAGGAAACCTTTAACTCCTGGGGGCTTTGGTTCTGGATCATATAATTCCTTAAGTGTTGTTGTAGAAATTAAATGCTTTTTGGTTGAAATCCCTGCAAAGAGATTTAAAAGCATATAATGATCATAAAAAAATATAATTAATAAGATAGAGCAAGTCAAAGTTACAGAGCTTAAAATGGACATGTCATGAGCAGGCAGATGAGGTTTTAAAGTTGATCTTTAATAGATCAAACTGCATGCCGTGAAACGAACGATTCTTGAGACATTTAGAGCAGTACTAAATGAAGTGTTAGTCAGGATCCACAGTATCCTCCTGATGGAGACCCAGTATAAATGTAAATGCCCAAATTAGACACCAAACTCATAACGTACTTGGTTTCTTAAACAGTCAGGTCATGAGAGAGAATATTTTGGGGCTCCGAGAGAGAGCAGAGAAGAGAATTTAAAGGTAGGGTCTACACACCTGTTTGCTTATGTTTTACCACCTAGTCACTCCTTTCTGTAATTCTATAGAACTGCCAAAAAAGGAGGTATTAATATTGTGAGAGAGAGGGTTGGAAACATTACCGTGAAGGAGGGTGAGAGTGGGAGTGGAAGGAGCAGTACTGAAGAGGGTTAGGTAAGGCAGTCTATAGTCCAGGAACAGCATGTTTGTGATGCTCAGTCATCTAGGGATGTACAATGCCATAAACTGCTATTGTTATGGGTAACCCACAAAGCCAGGACAGCGTGAAAAATCTAGTCTTTAATCATGTGCAGTAAAAGTTCATACATTGTTTATATTTAATTTCTCATGATGCCAGCCAGTCTAATGCGTCAGTGAAAATGTGTTCCATAAACATATGCACTACCAACATTAGATTATGACTACCTAAAGTATTATTGGGAATATGATCCAAAAACATCTGCAGTCCTACGACAAGGGGATGAAGACAAGCTAATTTATCCAAACCCATAGGTAGGTCACAAGATCCTACATCTACATGACAATAACTCTTAGCTCACCCCTAGCACTTTTTTATTGAAATACATGACAAAGAAAAGTAATATCCCCCCTCACAAGCCATACAAGTAATTGTATAGTGTGTGCCTTTGTAAATTCCTTTAAAAGGTACATAAAAACAAGAAAGTATGTGCTGTGACTGCTATGGTAACTCCTTTGCTAGCGCAAATAATGCTGTCTCGTGAGTTGAGAAACAGAATGATGAACATCAATCCATTCGTGCTGGCAAAGAGGTCAGTGTGTCGGCGTAACTGGGGATGTTTGCCATGCTCAGAAAAGCGTTCCCAAAGCACGCAAAATCAAATAAGACTGGAGGCAGAGTGGACGACGAACCCGAGGTTGGTGTTACTTTAAGAGTAACACCCATGACGATGAGAACATGGTGGTGCTGAAATGAGGTAGGGTGGGTAAATCTGATTATTTTGCATTAAATACATCATGTATCTCTATGATGTATGATGCATTCAATGTATTTGGTGGTGATTTAGGCAAAGTCACTTTTCCTTTACAGCTTCACTTTAAATATTGTTTTAAGATATTATGTAAAAAAATTACAACATGGATCCTTGTCACAGCTAATTGAAAGAAAGTGTTTTTTTTTTTTTAAATAAGATGTATTTATTAATAAATACAAATCAATTCTGAAAACACAGATGTAGATGGGTTTCAATGAAACAAGTTTGTTTATACTGTATGGCTTATTCTCCTTACCTGAATACCGCCAAATAACTGTAGCAACAATGCAAATAAGCAAAACATGTAAATACAACACACAAGAAAAAAAATAAACTGTATGCAGCCACCAATCCATTGATCAAAATGTGTGCATCTAACAAAAACAAAGAAAACATAAAATGTATTTTTCTAAAGAACAAGTGAAGTCCATGTCAAGCAAACAACTACACACTAACAGTCTGTACCATGCTGATGGTGAATGTTATTAAGCCATGGTGTCCACTCTTCTTCAGGAATACAAGTAACAGACTAGAAGAAAGCCTCATTGTCATTTACCCTTTTGCTCACCTTCCAAATTTTAGCTTCTTTCTTCATGTACAGTTCCCCCTTTTCCCCTCTATATCAGCTCATAATTTCTAGATCACTCCCCTTTCTTTGCTTTATTTCAATTGGCATGGTCACCATTTGAGGACTTTGCCGAATTTGCAAGGTCCCCCGGCGGTGACATCGATGCTGATGGTCTGGTGGCGGAGGGGGCAGGTAAAGGTGAATTTACTTACCTGAACCTGTCCTTCACCTGCACCGCCATCTTGGTCCTCCTCGGCATGGATGTGCGAGAGTACAGCACATTGAGATCTATGGGGGATCCCGCGACAATGTGGGATCCTCCATATACCTAGCCAATTCCATGCAGCCATCACTGGTGATGGCTGCAGAGATGGAGACTTAGGCTCCCTCTTGTGTCAAGAAGAGTCAAGCAGAGGAGAAATACAGAGACAAAAGTAGTCCCTACTTTGTCTATGTATATCTCTTGACTGGATTGGAATTTCAGTGAAATTCCAACAAAGCCAATAGGAGTATTTCATAAAGATTCTATCTATATGAAATACTCATAATTCTGGGGGGATGACTGTGCTGCTTTCAGATCTATTTTCTGGGTATACATTGTGCTAGCAGTTTTGCTAGCAAATGTATAGTTTTTGAGAAAAATATTTTTTAACAATAGCAGGTTCTTCTGTTTTTTCAAGTATAGCAACCATAGTGCATGAATTTCAGCTGCTATGGAAACTCCCTAACCAGCACTGCTATAGTGGACTAGGGAGTATAGGAACGTAGTAACAGATGTCACTCCATTCAGACCCCTGCACAATGGCAATCGAGGCCAGCATGTCAACGTCACTGAAGAGCTTTGCCCTGCTTGCCCCTCCTTGGCAAACCAAAATAGAGCGGAGATGGATCAGAGGTGTGTGCTACATGAAAACTAACACACAAAAAGATTAGGTATGCTGAGTAAATTTCTGTATTTTAAATGAAATACATAATATATCTCTATGACAGATATGATGCATTCAATGTATGTTGGGTCGATTTAGTTTAAATTTACAGTAGATGTTTACTTTAACCCCTCTAAGTAAGACAGTGTCTGGGCACTCCTCATAACAACTTAAATGAATTTAAAGGGACACTGTGTCAAGTGGTCTGGGTGTACTGTCTTAGTCCTCTTAGCCCTGCAATTGTAATTATTGCAGTCTTCGACAGTCACTAGAGGGACTTCCAGGCGGTTGAGCCACTTTTGCTCACCTGACGAGGGACGTTCTCACGCTTTGCACAAGGACATCCAGCATCATCCAAAACCCCATAGAAAAAGCATTATACAATGTTTTCCTATGAGGAAAGATCTAATGAGAGCTCGGTGTTGACTGAGAAGCAGAGTCAGCGTTTTTAACTCCTTCTGCATCACGGGTGAGGGGCACGATAGAAAGCTAAAGTGCTAGAAAAATATAAACCATACAAAAAAAACAATATCAAGTAGTGAACAAAGTGCAAAAGACCTCAAACACAGCTTGATGTGAGTGCAGCGCTAAAAAAGTATTTTAAATTATAATACACTTACCCCTCACAGTATATATGGGGTATATATGTGAAAATAAACAGAAAAAGATATATAGAGTAGTATTGTCTGATGCGTTTGTAAATATATCCAATAGATAAAAAGAATAAAACTCACATTTGAAAGAGCCTTTTATGAGGATATAGGCTCTAAACACAACAGCTTCTTTGCCTTTAAAGGTAGGCAATAAAACCTAGGGACAGGAGCGTTCTTCTTTTCTTTTGTTGATAAATTATATCTCCAAATGAAACATAGAAAAGAAGAATTCTTTGGTGCAGATGGTATAATCAAAGTAAAAAAGCAGTCAGATAGGATGTATAAGCTCAAATTGCTCACCTTATTTAGAGCCTTTTAAACTGGCTCTAAGTATTGTAGGCATGGATGTCAATAACCAGATAGCACTTCCCTCTTATGGATACCACAGAAATGGAGAGGAGATGGAATAAAGATAGCTAACAAAAATATTTATTAATACATAAAATAAACATAAATAAAATATACATATGAATAAAAAGAATCCTCTCTCTCCTTTATCCAGAAACGCGTTTCGCCGTCCTTTTCGGCTTCCTCAGTCTGTGTTTGGTGAATGAAAGCCGAAAAGGACGGCGAAACGCGTTTCTGGATAAAGGAGAGAGAGGATTCTTTTTATTCATATGTATATTTTATTTATGTTTATTTTATGTATTAATAAATATTTTTGTTAGCTATCTTTATTCCATCTCCTCTCCATTTCTGTGGTATCCATAAGAGGGAAGTGCTATCTGGTTATTGACATCCATGCCTACAATACTTAGAGCCAGTTTAAAAGGCTCTAAATAAGGTGAGCAATTTGAGCTTATACATCCTATCTGACTGCTTTTTTACTTTGATTATACCATCTGCACCAAAGAATTCTTCTTTTCTATGTTTTATTTGGAGATATAATTTATCAACAAAAGAAAAGAAGAACGCTCCTGTCCCCAGGTTTTATTGCCTACCTTTAAAGGCAAAGAAGCTGTTGTGTTTAGAGCCTATATCCTCAGAAAAGGCTCTTTAAAATGTGAGTTTTATTCTTTCTATCTATTGGATATATTTACAAACGCATCAGACAATACTACTCTATATATCTTTTTCTGTTTATTTTCACATATATACCCCATATATACTGTGAGGGGTAAGTGTATTATAATTTAAAATACTTTTTTAGCGCTGCACTCACATCAAGCTGTGTTTGAGGTCTTTTGCACTTTGTTCACTACTTGATATTGGTTTTTTTTTGTATGGTTTATATTTATAGTGTCTTGTGGAGTATTCACTAGAAGTGCACATAGCAGCTATATTTTATATAATTCACACCTAATAATATTTTAAGCGCCTTTTTATCCACATCCACCTTTGTGTGTTTTTGCTAGAAAAATGACCTTGTTTTACTCGCACTGTAGTTTCTCTTTAAGTTGTTATGGTGATAGGAGTGTTTGTCTAAATTAGATCAAGAGATGCTCCATTATTTACGTTTAGTAAACAGTTATTAAATACAACTTGTAAAATCATGAATTGTACAAGTAGTGTTTGATATTTCAGAGATTGCACTCTTTAAAGAGTATGATAATTGACTTATTACAGACATTCCATTTTAAATCCCACATTTAGTTTTTGTTTTTATTTTAAGAATAAAACTAAATAAAATAGATGACAACTGTACCGATACGGAGAGTGTTTCTTCCTTTCCATCCATGCCTTACATTAGTGGATCTACATTTCTGTCGGACTTTTGATCCATCCTTTGAAGATGGAGATTTGAACCACTTGTACTGAAATATATAAACACATATTTGTTGAATTTACTGCAACTATATCAAGAAAGAATGCAATTTTATAAAAAAAATATTGGACACCTTTCCAGGAGAAATAAATAATGAAATTTCATTAGTCACACAGTTGAAGTGGACAATCAAGCATAACCATCTTATGTTAGTCACAAAAGGACAGAAATAATTTGGCGACGCATGTTTAATATTGTGCCTATGGGGAAGACCCTATGTTTTTGTCAAAATGTATCAACTAGCATTTTAGTTGTTTTTCCCCCCTCCATCAGTTGCTTCTTCTGCACCCTAACGTCATTTTAAGAATGCATGCCATTTTGTTCAGTATTGTTTATATTGCTTTCTGCTGTTTTTCCCCTGAAAATTGTTGTGTTTGCCACTCTAAATTTGCCAGTCATTTCTGAAATGTATATTTCCGTGAAAAATAGAATTTAGGTAGGAAAAAAGAAGACACTGTTTAAACCATATTAACTACAAGGTAATAAAGATGAACAGAAACAAAAGGATATTGAAATATCTGAAACGGAGTGCTAGAAACATGTCAAATAAGGACTTTGCCAGAAACTGTGTTACTGAAAGAGTAAAATAAAAAAAGAACAGAAAAAGGGTCACAGGTCTTGTGTATTTATCCACATCTGGGAGGAAATTAAAGAAAAAGCACTAAATTGGAGACATTACATTTAAGTGAAAAACACTATTATCCACTAATGCATTGTTTAAAAGTGACACTGTAGGTACTATAAGCATTTTAGCTCACTGAATTGATTCTAGTGCCAAGTGTCCCCTGACACTGTACCTTCATTCAACATTAGACCATTTTGTGCAGATTAACACTGAATGAGGTTCCCTAGCCACCTAGAGCCTGGCCCTTACTGGAGGAATAAGTAGAGCTTACACACTTCTTTTTGGCCAAACCAATTTATAACAGCAGTTAGCTAAAAGCAGTAAGCTGACACTCTCAGCTAATCACAGTCGCCCATTGTTACTCAGGCAAATACTTTTTTATTAGCCCAAGCAGCACAGAGGAGATGGGCTGCTGGGGACTCTCGTTTAGTGCTTATTAAACATGGTTTTAAACATTAAAAATGGTTTTACGCTGAATAGAGGTATGGTGCCAGCAGGAACTTCAGACACTATAACCGCTTCAATGAGATGATGCAGTTACAGTGCCTAAACTGTTCATTTAAGATTGTTGAGCAGGTTCCATTTAGGACTTCTAAATTAATATAGAGTTGAATGTCAAATTCTCCAAAGGACTAATTTAAATCCTCAATAAATGATATGCCAAAAAACAAACAAAAACTGTTTAGCAGATATCAATCTCTCATTCCACCCCACACTGCTTTTATTATGGTCATAATTTTGCACATCTAACAAATAGTGTTGCTTTGCACTTAAGTAATGTCATTTCAAAACGGACTCAAATTTTCCAGTTTTAAAACTAGTTAAAAATGTGGTTGCAAAATACACACAAAGAAAAAGAAAGCATGCACAAAATTAGAGTATAAAATCTAACAAGGCTACTTGAGATCATCTACCTCAGCAAACAAACATTGGGATTTAGTCATACCATGTTTAAGCCTACAACCATGTCAATGTACCCCAATATCAGTGGGTCCTAAAAAAAAGATATAAAACATGCTCATGTGCACAAATCAATTTCATATGTTAATATTAAACTAACATTTTAGTTTGTGACCAAACAAATTGATCTGTTAGTGATATACCAGAAAAATATTGGACAGGGTTAGTTGGGAATTCTTTTCAAATACTCTAAAGGCTTTTGGCTTGTCAGGAAGGATCTATTATGCCATTATGGCTCTATATTTGAATCCTACAGGAAAAGTAATAGGTCTGGGTATCCTTTCTAATTAATTTACACACAAAAAATGGTACCAGACAAAGCTGTCTGCTTTCTCCACTTTTATATCTCATGACTATCGAAGTATTGGCAATGGAGATAAGAAATAGCAACAAAATAAAAGGTTTCAATGACCATACGGAGATAAAATTAAAACTGTATGCAGATGATGTATTCATCGTGATGGAGGACCCTGTAAACTCAAGTAACGAGTTAATGAAAGTAATACAGATATATAGTAGTTTCTCAAATTATAAATGAAACATCTCTAAGACAATGGCCTTTTCTTTTTTCAGAACAGCTCAAATGAAAATAGAGATTACGACCAACTTCGAATTTCTCTGGGCAAAGGAATATTTTTCTTATCTAGGTCTGAAAATTTCAGCAAATCCGCAAAATTGGATGGAAATTAACTTGCTCCCATTGATAAGAGAAATCAATATAAAGTTAAAAATCTGGTCAAAAAAATTAAATACCATGGTGGGGTAAGATTATTACCATCAAGACTTGTTTTTTTTTTTTTAAAGCTAACATATATATTGAGTCTAATTCCGAGTAATATTCCTACAAATAGGATTAATCTATCACAATCTTCCTTCACAAAGTTTATCTGGTCAATGAAAAGATTAGTGCTAAAAGTTTGTCAAAGAAAATAGAAGATGGAGGTCTAGGGATCCCATCCCTGATGAGACTGGTCCAGGCCACTCTCTTAATACACGCAATATGTACCCTCCAAAAATCATCCCAAGAAGGAAGCTGGTATAAACGAGAAATTAAGAGAATAGATTTGTTTCAAAATGTTTCTGCAATTTTCTGGTTAACCAAGAAATCAGAAAATTGAATTTTTATAATGAAGACTTTGCTTTAAATCACATTTAAAAAAACTGGTATGAAATTAAACGGAAGCTAGATATGAAGGAAGAAATTCTTCCATCTCAGAATAGAATTACTAAATGATTTATTGCCAGATATCAATTTATACTCTTGGTCTGAAAAAGGTATTAAAACAGTTGCAGATTTAATTTCTGCAGGAAAAATAAGAACCTTTGATGACCTTAAAATGACATCACGATTTCTGAATAAAGATTTTTTTGACTGCTTAAAAGTCCGACCTTATCTAATGAAAAGGTTAGAATTTCCTAAAGAACAAGCAAATTTAAAATATTTCGACCAACTTATTAATGTTAAAGGGACACTATAGTCACCAGAACAACTACAGCTTATTGAATTTGTTCTAGCGAGTAGAATCATTACCTTCAGGCTTTTTGCTGTAAACACTGACTTTTCAGAGAAAATGCAGTGTTTACATTACAGCCTAGTGATAGCTTCACTGGCCACTCCTTAGATGGCTGTTAAAGATCCTTCCTGGGTCATGGCTGCCTAAAATGCATCCAAACATTCAGTGTCTCCTACCTTTGCATACAGACACTGAACTTTCCTCATAGAGATTCATTGAGTCAATTAATCTCTATGAGGAGATGCTGATTGGCCAGGGCTGTGTTTGAATCATGCTGGCTCTGCCCCTGATCTGCCTCCTTGTCAGTCTCAGCCAATCCTATGGGGAAGCAATGTGATTGGATCAGGCCACCACTTCTGCTGATGTCAGCAGACAGCCTGTTTTTCTGAGGAAAACAGCATGCAGATCTACAGCTTCAGGCTTGAATACAGTAAGATTTTGCTATATTTATGGAGGCATGAGGGGGCCGGGGGGGCTAGATGGTGGTTTTAACACTATAGGGTCGGGAATACATATTTGTGTTCCTGACCCTATAGTGATCCTTTAAGGATCCTAAAAAACTATTTTCTAAAGCAAATCTTTTATTATATAATATAGAAAAGAAATACTACCCACCAGCAATATGGAAATGAAAAAGAGATTTTTTTTAAAGAATGATGCAGCTCAATTCAGATGCTTGGTAAAAATCTACACTGAACCTGAATGAGTTGCATTATAAGATCTTAAACAGATGGTATTTAGTCCCTAAAAGGATAAATAAAATATTTGTAGCTGAGCTCCCTGTACCCTGAGTGGGTACCTCTGCCAAAGGGCCACTTCTCAGCTAGAACAGAAGACAAAACCGCAGCACTTCTGCCCACAGTCTCCGTGGCTTTACTGGGGCCCTGGAACTGCTCTATTCTGGAGCCGAATGGGGAACTCGCTCTAGCAACCCCCAGGCACTTGACGACAGTCCTGGGAGCTCTAGTTCTTACAAGGACGTTCCCTGTTGAATACTCCACACTGGAACACTGATTAAAGTATAGCCCTTTCTCCTCCCAGTAACCAGACGACACATAGTTCTGGGAGTACAAGCTGGAATCCTTTAATGACAGGCACAACTGGCCTTATATGCATGTCCCCATGCAAGGGGCACTCCCCCCTGGACCTGAGAGTAAACCACAGTAGAAACAAATACACAATTACATTGGCTCTCAGATCCAGGACACTTTCATACATAATCAGATAATCCTTCCTCTGTGCCTGGGAGATAATTGGATCAGGAACTGTACTAATCTAATCCAATTATCTCCAAGCACAGAAAAAAAAACACTTTCCCAAACACACCAAAAATACCATAAAAATACATAAAACCCCACAAAAGTTACATCTCCTGATAGCCCTGAGCTGGGTGACCAACATATCAAAAAATCACCCAGATCAGTACAGGGGTTCAGGAATTTCTGGAAGTCATTTGTTTGACTGACCGCACAGACCCATGCCCAAAACAGTTCCAGAGATTCAGGGCTTGCAGTCGGTCTAATTCAGTAGTTTAAAAACGAACAAACTACCGAACATAGTCAATAGTCTTACCCTGGAGCTTGTTCGTGGGAACATTTCTACTGAACAGTGTCATTCTAAGTGTTGTCGAACCGAACGCAGACGATCATGGAAGTACAGCGGTGTTCAGGAGTTTCAGTATCGGAAAACAGTTCCATGAACTCGATGACCAAACACTGCTGCCTGTGTTCATGCGAACAAGATGGCCGCCACCTCCTGGTCGTCCATAGGAACTGTGGCCACCCAGACGAACACTTAGATGGAAATAGTTACAAAGTAGCAATTAGGCTTAACAAGCTCCAGGGTGGTCTCCGGTTCGTGCGGCTGTTCGGTTCCCGAACCATATAGTCCAAATACAGGAACGGAGACTTTTATATCACATTTTACAAGGTCTATAGTCTGTGGGCAGGAGGCTGACAAGCAGACTCCTCCAGGAACTTGTGGCAAACTCACTTGAAAAGGGGAGTTTATCACATTATTCCATACTCATCCTTCTGAATGTTGGAGATGCGGGACAAAAGAGGCAGATTTCTTACATATACGGTGGGAGTGCCGACCATTAAAGAATTATGGCATGATATGGTGTCTAATCCTGAAGAGCACAATACTCCTAAAACCAGAACTGATGCTCTTAAATATTAACATACCCAATATTAACAAAAAAAGATTTGATCTTGTTACTCCAAGTGTTGACAGGTGTTAAGCTAGGAACTGGAAAAGTTTGTTCATACCAGACTGGTGCCTGATTAGGCATCAACTAAACCATCAAATAAATATAGAAAAATATATTCTGACATTTAATAACAAAAAACTTAGTTATTGATTCATCCTAAAAACCATTATAAGTTTAATAAACACCGTATAATGTAAGAACACATAAATCTAAGGGAAGTCTAGAGAAGGGACATTGTCGTTCCCACCCCCCTCCGATCAGGATACATTTTCATCTTTTTTTTCTTCTCTTTGTAGTATTGTATTTTGTACTAACACCTGCAAGATTTGGACAGATTAAATGCTACGTATGCTAGTAGTGACTTTTTGATACTTTCAACGCCATGAATTAGTATACTTTGTAACGTTCAAGTTTATGTATCAAGAAGGAGAAGAGAAAAAGGAAGGAGAGAGAGAAGAGAGAAGGAAGAAGGTTAAAGAGAAAAAGAATAAAATGTTCTATATATATATATATATATATATATATATATATTTATTTATTTATTTATATTATGATGAACTAATATAATTGAATTAGATACTAGCAGGAAAAGAGTCTCTGTACTCTAACAAGCATGTGTCCAAATTTATTGACTTTACATTTGACTTTGTATTTTTAAACTTTGAGATAAAAATGTGAAATAAAAATTTGGTGGTTCCCAACCCAGTTCTTAAGTACCCCCTAACAGTCCAGGATCTAGGGATTACCAAGTTGTGTCTAAGGTAGAAAAAAACAAACCAAAACAAAAAAAAAACACTTTAGACACAACAGGGTAATCCCTAAATCCTAGATGGTAGGGGATACTTGAGGACTGGGCAGCCTGCCCAGATCTCCAACCCCAGATGGAGATGTTAGGAGTGACAGTTGGTCCCTCTCCCCAGTGGCAGTATGCATTACAGGGAAAGAAGTGTGCCGTCCTTCCTCCCCAGCGGCAGAGTGTGTTATTGTTATTGAACCCCTGGTCTAGGGGATGTACTTTCTACAAATATATACTTTTGTGTAGCATTTTCAATTCTGTGACTACTACAAAAATGTTAATATCTGGGCAGGCAGCCCAATACTCAAGTATCCCCTACCATCCAGGACTTAGGGTTCACCCTGTTGTGTCTAAAGTGTTTTGGGTTTTTTCTACCTTAGACACAACTGGGTAATCCCTAGATCCGGGACTGTTAGTGGGTACGCGAGGGCCGGGTTGGGTACCATGGCCCTAGACTATGTAACTAAGAGCATTTTGAAACTTTTAGTTTAACAAATTTATCACAAACCTACATCAAATATTGTAGTTTTTTTTTGTGTGTGTTTTATTTCCACATGTTTATTTTTGGCAAATTCACAGACCATGTGTGCCCCACAACTGCAAACTCCATATATTTGTAATCGGCTGCTGGTCTCTATTAAGACAACCCACATGTATACCTGTTCGACTAATCTTGCCGCTAATTGAACCCTAAAACCTTACCCTTAATCCTAACAATAATACGACCCCTATTGCTGCCCCTAAACCATCCCCTAATCCCACCACAGAGGGATACCCTATGTAAACTATTATTACAATTTTATTTAAACACAGCTGTATACATTCATTATAATCACAGATTCAAACAGAAATATGGGGCAGGGGGGTTTGCACATGAGAATCTTGATTCTACAGGCACTGGACATAATGTGTAGGTAAGAGATGGCCTCATGAAAGGTGTAGGTGATTTGACTGGGGATAATAATGATAATAGAGAAACAAAGATAAAGTGGTGATATATACAGGAATAACCGAGGGAGAGAGAGAGAAAAAAAAATAGAAACAGACAATATTACAAAAGAGAAAAGACAGGAAAGAGAGACATAGATCAGATGAGAAAAAAAATATCTAAACACACAAAGCAAGACAAAGATAAGAGAGAGGTCTAATGAAAAAAAAAAAAAAAACAGATAAAGAGTTAAAATTAAAATGAAGAGAGATGGTCTCAGAAAAGCTTGATTTAGTTGGTGTAACACAACATCAGAAAAAGGAGGGGGGGGAAAAAGCTCAAATGCTTCTATATGTGTAAATGGAATGCACTACAGTAAAATTAATCTAAAGAAAAAAAGATGGATAGGTCCCAAAGAAAAAGCTTTTTTAAAATTGTTATCTAAAAATGGATTATAAAAAAAACAAAAAAAAATAAAACCTCACGCACACTAAAAAAAGCCACTGATTATCCGATTATTCAGCAGTAATGTGATAAATAAAGCTCAATTAGGATGTTCTGCAACAATCTCTAACAAAATAAATGAAGTAATGTGACTATAAAATAAACAACAAACAATATAATAATGCTTTACATATTAAAGGGACACTATAGTCACCTGAACAACTTCACCTTAATGAAGTTGTTCAGGTGATAACTATAGCTCCCAGCCCTTCTTGTGTAAACACTGTATTTTCTAAGAAAATACAGTGTTTACATTAGAACCTAGGAACACCTCCAGAGGCAGTCACTCAGACGACCACCAGAGGGACTTCCGAGTTCATGAATGCATAATTCGCATTCATCACGTTTGACGTCTTCACGCTTGTGTGTAGACATCAAATGTACTATCAGCAGACAGGAGATAGGAGGCGTGTTCACAATGCCTCCTATGTCCTGTAGTAACACGGAGCCTGTCAGCAATCAGAGCCGAAAGTGTGGGACATAAGATCTCCTGCACACAGCATCGGCGAGAGCTGACAGGCTGAAGGCAGAAGGATGCAGAGATCTCCTGATTTCAAACAGTAAGTACACTTATTTTAAAAATTTAGAGTGAGTGTGAGAGAGTGTGTGAGAGAGAGTGAGACAATGAGTGTGAGAGAGTGAGAGATAGATAGAATAGAGATATAGAGATAGAAAGATAGCTAGAGATAGATAGTGTGTGTGCGCATGTGTAACAATATTTATTTAAAATGTGTGTGTTTTTATACAAACACTATATATATATATATAGATAGATAGATAGATAGATAGATATAGAGAGAGAGATTTCTCTATGTATAGTGTTTTTATACTAACTTTGGGTTGAGGGTTGCCGTAGAAGGGGGGCGGGCATAGACAGTGAGCTAAGCTGTCAGTCAGCTCAGCTTGCTAACGTGCATACCGCGCACACGCGCGGTACAGCGCTGAGTTAATTTATAGGGTGGAATGCCGCTCTATGAAGAACGCTATTGGTGCAGCGCGAAGCTGCGCATGCGCACCAGATCGCTATGAAGCATCTGATTGAGCCCTGCTACTTTGTCATTTTGATGAAAAAGGGGGCGAGGCTTGCCGAGGATCTCGGCGCTGGAACGAAGATAAGTTTTAATGATAAAAAATACTTTTTTTTTAAATGGCAAGTTCATATAAAAGCAAGAAAGGTTAGGGGACCTGTTTTTCTTGCTTTTATGTATTCAGAGGACTGCAGTAGGTTTATTGATGTAAGCGATGCATATATGGAACATTAGCATAGGTACACTAGTTTACCATGCAATCCTGTCAAATTCCTGCTCAACATGTTTTTTCCCTTTTATAGTACAAAGAAAACTAAATGCCCTACAGTAAGAAACTTGGCACTGAATTCACTAATCCCTCACAGAACAAGTTACCAAAATTATTTTTACAAAAAAAATACAATTCACCAACTTGCCTGTTCTGTGCACTTATGACAATTTTAAAATAGTGAAACTATGAAAAGAGCACATATGGCATCAATTTTAGTCTTAAAGGACCACTATAGTGCCAGGAAAACAAACTCGTTTCCCTGACACTATAGGGTCTTTAGGTTCCCCCACCTTCAAGGTCCCACTCCCGCCAGTTAATCACTTACCTTTCTCCAGCACCGGGTTCCCTCGGCACTGGGGAAATCTCCTCCCTCTTCCGACGTCAGCGCTGAATTTCTCAATGCTTTCCTATGGACATCAGCGTCTTCTCACTGTGATTTTCACAGTGAAAAGCCTGGAAGCGCCTCTAGCGGCTGTCAATGAGACAGCTACTAGAGGCTGGATTAATCCTAATGTAAACATAGTTTCTCTGACACTGCTATGTTTACAGCTGCAGGGTTAACCCTAGAAGGACCTGGCACCCAGACCTCTTCATTGAGCTGAAGTGGTCTGGGTGCCTAAAGTGGTCCTTTAAGACCAGACACCCAAAAATCTACCAATTGAAAGTGGAACACCTTTTCCTTGGCAACAAGAAGATGAAGTTACAAGCACGTGTAGCCTTAAAACGTCAGAACATTTTATGAAAGAAAAGGTTTGTACATGTGGTGAGATAAGCAGAATGCAGATCTGTTGTGTAAGCAAGGTCCGGCTGGGAATGCAAAACAGCCCTGGAAAAAAAAAAAAATGTATGCCAGCCCTATAAGTCACTGTGCCACGGTAGTGTATATATTATTATATTATATATACACATACACACACAATTTATATAATAAATATACACACACACACACACACACACTACCTTGGCACAATGACTTATAGGCATACATTTTTTCTATACATATATATCCTTTAGTGAGATGTCAAATATCCCTTAATAACAATTAAAATATGGCTACATCTTGCTGCCCCAGATTGAGTTATTCTAATTCATAAACATAGATTTTATATATCGATCTAAAATATATAATATATGTAAAATCTATGTTTATGAATTAGAATAACTCATATTTTAATTGTTATTAAGGGATATTCAACATTCTCACTAAAGGATTTATAAATATATACTTTTATTATTGGTATGTTCCTTTTTTAACTATAAATATTAGTAAAAAATAAGCCTACTCACATGCAGGCACAGACAATCTCATTGACAAAAGGACACAGGTAATCTCACTAACACACACAAGATCATTGACAAACACAGACAAGCTTACAGGTACACACAAGCTTAGTACATACAAACTCACTGGTATAAACAAAGATGCTTACTACAGACAAGCTCACTGACACACATACATGCCTACTACAGACGTGCTCACTGACACACATACATGCTTACTACAGACATGCTCAATGACACGCATACATGCTCAATGACACACATACATGCTTACTGCAGACAAGCTCACTAAAACACACATACATGCTCACTACAGACATGCTAACTGACACACATGCATGCTTACTACAGACATGCTCACTGACACACATGTATGCTTACTACAGACATGCTCACTGACACACATGCATGCTTACTACAGACATGCTCACTGACACACACATACATGCTCACTGCAGACAAGCTCACTAAAACACATATGCTCACAACAGCAAGCACACACACAAAAGATCATTCTCACTCACTAGCTGCAGTGTATTTGAAGCTTATCTGGCACTGCAGGCTGCTGCTGTGGAAGTCCTGGGAGGTGAGGACTCCAATCCCAGGCCTCTTCCTGCCCTGAGGTCACCAGCTTGCGACCGGGGGCAGAGCTTAAGTCCCAGAAAGCTCGCTCCCTACATAGGGCTCTCCAGTCTCTCCCCGGGCCAAGTCCTGCGGCCCACTGGGAAATTTATGGTATCCTGTTGGGCCACTCCGGCCCTGTGTGCAAGGGGCCTTGTATTTACGACAAAATGTAATTTGCTGTAAATATACAAATTCTAAGTGATTGTCCAATAAGCAGCAACTACTCCTCCATCTTGTTGACATGATATGTACTCCCAGTGGGAAGCAGCGTACTATGGGTGATCCAGAAGGTTTGCAACATCTCATATTGATTCTCATAAAATACAAATACAAAATATTTGTATTTGAATACACTAACATCGAAAGCCTCGTATAAGTGATGTTTCAGAAGATTTGTATAGCACAGTTCCCAGGCCCATGCTTTTGATACTTAAAATCTTTGGCTGTAGTTCCTAATACTAACAGAGTGCCTACCAGTTGCTGAATCTAAAGGTTCTGATATTTTAAATTATCAGAATGAATGTGTACGAGGAAAGGCCAACTTTTTTTTTGTTGTTTTTTTTTTTTTTTTACTTACAAAAAGTCTTAACCATAAACAGATGATATGCAAAAACTTTTTTTCTTTTTTTTCTTTTTTAGTGCAGAACCACCAAGAACACACAGGACATTAAGATGCATGTTTTATTATTGCAACTTTACTAAAACATCAAATGCCAATTCATTGTTCAATAGCACAAGCCTGACATGGCAATGGTCTTCAAATTATCTAGTACAATGTATCATATTCTGATCACTGATGAACCAACTAGCTGACAAAACATACCTCAGAATTTGAACCATGTGCATTCATAAGGACTCTCTCCGTGAGAGTCTTCAGCAATGAATAATCTAAAACAAAAACATAAAGCAGCGTTTAGTCATAACCTGGAAATGTCAAACGTGATCCTAATGAGCTAGAATTATGATATGGCATTAGGATTTATCTACTGAATATGTAATCAGTTAAAATTGTGCATCACTGAGCAAAAGTAAAGTATTGTCTGAAAATCAGGCTGTCCCTAACATCTGGAGTTTGACATCTATGATCCCTACATTGCATCTTAGAGCATCCTGTCAAACACTGAAATATGGTCAAACGAATCATGTGGGAGAAATCTGTTTTACTTTGAGAACAGATCTCCTGCTCCTCTACAGGGACAGATTAGTACACAGTTGGTACAGCAGTCACAACAATCAGTTGCATGGATTCAAAAGTATCCCACATGACCACTACTGTTAGAGCTTTTTGCGTACTATTCATGAAATTACTTTTATTGGACCGGTGCAAATGAATTGTTAACTGGATTATGAAAAAAAAAAATTTTTTAATTCTCATGGAAAATTTTCACACAGCTCCTCTAAACTCTTGCAATTATGCTACTTACATATAAATGGGGGTGTGGATTGCACATTAAATATATCTGGGAGAAATGTTCCAACAAAATAAAAACCCAAGGTGAACTTTTTTGCATAGCCTAAAAGGAACACTATAGTCACCAAAAAAAACACAAGCTTAATGAAGCAGTTTTGGTGTATAGATCATGCCATTGCAATCTCACTGTGCAATAATGTTCCATTCAGAAGTTGCAGCACTTTGTTTATACAGTTCTAGGCACACATCTGTGCATCTAACCAACACAGCTGTCCTAAACACTTCCTGTAAAGAGTTATCTAATGTTTACAATTCCTTTATTGCAAACTCTTTAATTTAGAATTTCTTATCCCCTGCTCTGTTAATGCCTTGCTAGACCCTGCAAGAGCATTCTGTGTGTAACTAAAGTTCAATTTACAGAATGGAAGATAAAAACTTTTAAAGTAAGTTACATTTGATTGAAAATAAAATAATTTTATTTTCATACAGGCTGTGTCAGTCACAGGCAGGAGAAGTGTGGGTAGAATTGCATAAACAGAAACAAAAGTGATTTAACTCCTAAATGGCAGTGAAACTTCAGAGGCATGGTCTATACACCAAAACTGCTTTATTAAGCTAAAGTTGTTTTGGTGACTATAGTGGCCCTTTAATTCTATTTGCGTTTATTTAAAAATATCTTAAATTACTACACATTTTCAAGACATTTTCCTATTACTTAGAATTAGTAATGAACGCTAATTTGTGTTACACATGCTATGTACACTTTTTTAGGAAACTTACGAGATACTCTTCTGCTCTACTGGAACCTTATGATATATACCATTTTCAAAACTGATTGTATTGGATCTTTTAAAATCTTTCAATTTAAATCTCAAATAAAAATAAAAATAAAAACCAGAAATATGTGATTGGGCATGCTCACAACCAATATACAAAATTACTTATCAGTTTTGAAAATTGTATTTATATATCAATCATATGTGCATGGCTATAATGTCCCCACATCAGTCGAGTTATTAACTAAAGTGAGAATTATCAGGAATTCAGAGTAAATTTCAAGCGTAATCCAAAAGTAGCTAGATTAGGAAATGTTTCCAGCTTGGCTATTCTGGCCTTGATTTGAAATTAATTTTGAATTCACTTTGAATTCCTGACAATTTTTACTTTAGACAAATTATGGTGGCATTACAGTTATTACAATGACAGGCAGGAGAGGATCCACTGGTGGTGTAGCAGGGTCTGAGGCTTACAGAAACAGCACCTAAACAAGATTCAAGCAAACTGACAAAACAATAACTACTAGTACTATTAACAATTGGGATTCTGAATTCACTGTTAAAATATATGCAAATAAACTCATGCATTTACATGTGCTGCTCCTACACACAAATAATTATTCCTGCAAACTATATACAAATGCATTGCCAGCCTTATCTTAAACAGCACTATAAGTTACCATGATTTTTTTATTTTTAGATCTTCACAGTTGTTGTTAACAATGGTTGTTAATGCAACAAGATTTCAGTTTTGCTATAAGTGACAAAATAAAATGTAAAAAGTTTTTGTTCCATAACCAAATTTAAAAAAGAATAATCATTTGTACAGTTATATGAATAAATGCCTACTTCATTTCATATTCACAAGACTGAGGTTTTGAACAAAAATCTAAAATCATTCCAATGACCAGTTTCCCTGAAAAAAAACAAACCATACCAATTAGAGGATTTTGTCTCATATCCAGTACCAGTAGAGTAGTATTCGTCTGAAGAGCTTTGAGGAAGGACTCTGCACCCTCATTGGATATGCCACACTGACGCATATCTAGAGCTATTGTGGAAATAAGAAGGAAAACAAATTAACCTGTAGATTTTACGGAAAAAACACACAATATAAAGAGCAGCTTTTCACAACACAACAAAGAACAAGATAATTACTGAAAAAAATATTGATCTTTGTATGAAGTGTGCAACTACATGGAAAATTATAAATTCCCTTTATTCTTCAATTTATCTTGATAATTGAGATATTTCTACGTCTGTGTCCCTTTAAGTCTTCAAGACATTGACATTAGGGTTTTATAGAAATACTGCTAGTCTTGGTCATATCTGTTTCACAGTGTAGTTTTATATGGTATTTGTAATACCTTTTAGCCAAAGATCTTCGGCAAGTATTTCTGCTAAAGAATTGGCTCCACGGTCGCCCACAAAGGTATTGCAGTTTAGTGTGACACGTCTCAGTCCTGTCATGCAGTCAAGGTCAGGTCTTCTGTATCTCAGGCTTTCAGCCCAGGTCTCACTATGTCGTCTGGTTGCTTGATGCTATGAGAGTAAAAAGACATTTAAATAACAGACCTCGACATAAATGGTTCGCTAAAAGCATTACATACACAAATACTGTTTGTTACATTCAAACGATATATAATATTATGTTTTCATTTAAAATCTGTATAACTCAATAAAATAGCATAACAGTTTGCAGTACCTTTGTCACCAACTAAAAACAAGCTGTTTTAAAGGGATTCTATAGTGTCAGGAAAACAAACCCGTTTTCCTGGCACTATAGGCTCCTGCAGTGTCTCCCCCCCCCTCTTCACTCACTTACCTGAATACAGCACTGATGTCCCTTGGCGCTGGGTCAGGCTCCGTCCACACTCCTCCCCACCGTCAGTTGGCAGGGGAGACCTAATGCGCATGCACAGCAATGGCCGCACTCGCATTAGGATTTTATTCAATGCTTTCCTATGGAGAAAAAAATCTGACGTTGGAGTTCCTCATTCAGAGCGTGAGGACTACCAGTGTCAGATAACGGACCAGTGTCGGATAAAGGTCCGTTTCGATTCCGGGAGTGTCTGTATGGTAGAGTTAACCCTCAGAGGTAATTTTTGCAGTTTCTCAGAAACTGCAATAATTACCACTGTAGGGTTAAGGGACATTGCACCCAGACCACTTCAATGAGCTGAAGTGGTCTGGGTGCCTACAATATCCCTCTAACAATTATGAACAGGTATAGTGGTTAGTGAACCAGTTAGAACGAATTATAATGTTTCTTTATTTTCACCTAAAAGTGGCCTGATCATCAATTAAGTATCAAGGATAGATTTTGTAACCAAACGTTAGATTCTCACATGTCATTAAACATATTTGAGGTTATACCTTAAAATGAGAAATGTATTGAACCTTGAAGTGGTTAAGCAACAGCAGGTCCCACTTCTGTCAGTTAAGTCAAGGTTTGAAGAAAGGCATGTGATAACTAAACCATTCATTACATGCCATAGCGTGTGATTTGTTTTCTGGACATATGTATATTCCTTAAAAGGGACACTCAAAGCATCAAAATATTAGTTTAAAGGAACAATCCAAGGAACATAACCATTATAACTAAGTATGGTGGTTATGGTGTTTGGAGTACCCTTTCTCTCTTTCAGGGTATGTAGTTAAACGGTCTACGGTAGATACATTGATTGCGAGCATTCCGGAGGCAGCAGCAGACATCTAGCTGATTACACCCCTGGCACCATAACCATCACAGCGGTGCCTGGCACATCTAAGGTAAGTTGTTAAACCATTCTTTGGGAGGGTGCCAACTATCAAGGCACTCCTAGCACCATAACAACTAATGCAAGATGCTTTAATTATGATGCTTGGAGTGTTTCTTTAATTAATAGGTTTTGATGTATAAATTATGCCCCTGCAGTCTCACAGTTCAATTCTTATTTTGGATTTAAATAGTTTAGCTTATGCATTCTAGCCACACCTTCAAAGGCTATGATGAAAAGAGATCTCTTTATTAATCTTCTTGTATTGCACATTGGATTTAATTTAGATGTTCTTTTCTCCCAACCTGCTAAAGTCTGTAACAGTCTCGTGTGTTACTAAAGTGCAATTAAAACAGGCGTCAAGAACTTCACATTGAGCTGCAAGATTGGTTTGAAATGCAAGCCTTTTTTTGTCACAGAAGCTGTGTGAGTCACAACACGGGGAGGTTTTCCTGGGCTGCATAAAAACAAGCAATTTAACTCTGAAATAGCAGAAAATGGAGCAGTAAGTATAGGGGTATGATATGTACACCAACACGGATTCATTAAGCTAAAAGTTGTTTTGGTGGTTAGAGTATACCTGTAAGGTACAATTCCATATTAAAAGGTCTACTCACAATGGGATAGCATGTGATACCACAATGCACACCCAACTTAACAGTAACGTAAGATTTCCTCCAGTGGAACAGCTTGGTGATAAGGTGGAATGGAATAAGGTGACTACAGTGATTATTATACAAAAGCACTCACATATATACAGTACATACTGTCAGAAACAATACCTTTATTACATTGGCTATATATTCAGCTCCACGCCATGTCAAGCTGCATCCAGTGAAGTCCACAATCTTGATTGTTTCAGAATTCTTAATACTCTGACAAATTACTAAGCCATTAGAGGATAACAAAAATAATGTTAAGATGTGATACTACATTAATACAGAGAAATAAACAAACATGCATTCAATGGCTAGAGTTACCAGGGTTCCATTTAACAATGCTTAATATAATATTATAGTATTTTTGCCAAGTGTTGGGTGCCAATTATGAACAGCATAATTCCACAGGACCCAAAACTATCACTGTTCAGTAAGGGTAATGTCAATATGAGGTTTGTTTAGACTGAATGCTTTATGGGAAACTCATTAATTCATATGTTTAGAAAAAAATGGAACAGAACAGCTGATTGTAGGAGGCGTTGCAGATTCAAAAATACAATTTTAAATTTATACTCCTCTAATCGCTGTGGAAACCAGGGAAACAGAAGCAAAAAATATTTGCAATAAAAGCAGCAAGTCACTGGGGGAAGTAGTGCTGGGAAATGACTCACTCACTTTAGCAGTTGTATAATCAGCATGGCTCACAATCTTATTTCAGCAGATAAGTAAAACACCAAAACCAAGAAAAGAAAATGAACAATTCCACTATTCCTATGCATAACAGGAAGTGATGGGAAATGGACAACTTTAACCCTTGAAGAACCAGACAAAAAATAAATATTATAATTTTTCAGTGTTTTTACGAGTTAGTACCTGTTTATATAAATATGCCACATTTACCTACAGAAATGCTAGGGGTCATATCAAAAGTACAGGTCCGCTGATTACCTTGCTAAAAAAAAAACAAACAAAAAAAAAAACATCAAACTATTACATATAAAATCAACTAATTAAATTGATGCAGGAAATTGTTGGGGCTGTTTAGACTGTGTACATACTTTTAATAAAGAAGTGTTTCTGACATGAGGGGTGTTACTAACGAAGCATGTTCATGGTGCAGAATTCTGCAAAACATGTATTTATTTATTTTTGTACAAAAACTATAAAGATTTCAGCATGCTAACATACTGCTTACATATAAGGCCAAAATTGAACAAATGTATTAAACTTGAATTGATGCGTAGAGCTTTTCCTTAAGCCAGGGATTCCCCTACTCGTACCACCAGGGGTACAATCCAGTGCACCCACAGGGTTACGCAAAACAAATTTGGTAATGGTAGCGCTGCAGTTGCATGGGCCAGGGTCCACAGTGTTAGTGGGTGCATCACATGGTACTTCAGGCCACCCAATGGACTTGTGCCATGAGGATCCCGGTCGTGCCCTGCTGCACATTAACAGAACATCCGGGACCCTTCTAATATGCAGGAAGAGCTGTGAGGAAGTGAGAGAAAGCTGGGCACTTCAACCTGCTGAAAGATACCAAGATGCTCGTGAGAGGGATGGCACGAATGGGGGCCGGACCGGAAGAGAGGCACAAGTTCCTAACTCCCAGCAGCCTGCAGAAGCCACCACCCTGCACCTAAAAGGTAGGAAGCAGGAGGGTGGCAAAATGTTTTACCTATGTGTGTTTGGTTGTTTATATGTGTATATATGTAGTGTTTGTATCTGTGTGAGTGTATCTGTATGTGTCTCATTGTTTGTATCTGTATGTGTGTCAGTGATTGACAGATACAGACATAGTTGCAGTGTTTGTATCTGCATCTATGAGCTTGTGAGCATGTCATTATTTGGATTTGTGTATCTGTACATCTGTGTCAGTGTTTGTATCTGTGTGTCTGTGCATCCGCATGTGTGTCATTGTTTGTTTTTGTTTCAGTGTTTGTATCTTTCTGTGATTTTACATGTCTGTATCTGTATGTATGCCAGTGTTTTTGAGTGTCTGTGGATCCACATGTGTCAGTGTTTGTAACTGCAGATGTTTCAGTGTTTGTATGTGTGTCTGTGTATCTGCATGTGAGTCAGTGTGTCTAACTACACTGTGAGAAGCAGGGAGAGCCTGAGGCTGAGAAAAACATATACATTTGAAATAACAGTGTCACGGGAAATGGGACTCCTTGTACGTGTTCCCTTAATTATACTTTGTATCATCTAATTTTTCCCTGCATTCAAATTTAATTGTTCCCTTCTGTTCGGTTACAGAACAGATTCTGTGGGGTCCCCTTGTTAGCAAATCATGTTTAGGCTTGACTGAAAGATTGTGCTTGTCCAATTCTAAATATGATAAAAATGAGTATTAATCTGTGGATAGGTGTTGATGTCTCTTTTGCATATGATATTGGAACACAAGGCTTGTTCATATCAAAGGACTCCTAGGAGGGAATCAGGACATATGGCAAATGAGAGAGTTAGTTTATAGACTTCCAGGCCACTTATATGTGACTTCTCACACCTTACAGAGTAACTCTACTGGGGTCCCAGCTTCAAAGAAGAATTTAGATTGTAACCTCTGACATCCTATACAATCAAATTAACTTCTCTTGAAATTGACAATACCACCACTACCAGGCAGCCAGTTCATATATGCACGAACATAACTTCATTTTACCGAACCGATCTGAACGCTTTTTGGATAGGTTGTGCGCTCATATCAGGGCTATTCTGGAATATAATTTTTGTGGGGTTCCGATGCTGTTGTCATGTTTTTGTGATATGTAAAAATTGTATGTAAGTTTTCCTATTTGAGAGATAATTGGATTAGCTTAATTGAAGTTCAACTATCTCTCAAACACAATGGCTTGTGGGAAGGAAACCCCTGTGATTTTGTATTAGAAACCCCATGCTAGCAGCACTGCATAAAAAGCAGAGTTTGGCCTAATAAAGTTCAGATTGCTGCTTTTACCCAATACGACTGGTTGTGTCCATTATATTGGGGAAACTACACAAATGGAATACTTTCACTATATTCAGTACATATGGAATTAGGACTAGTGGAGGATTGAAGGAATAACAGCAATAGACTCACAAACCCGTGACAAACAGCAACTAGTAATAACAAACACTTTGCTAATATGAGGGGTGCAAAAGGAGTTAGAAACACCTTCTGTCATTTACCGGATTTCCGCGCAGATGTCCCTTGGTGCTGGTTCAGGCTCTGCCTCCGCTCCTGACATTGGCGGGGAAGACCTAATGTACATGTGGATGTCCTGCGTCAGGCAACCAAATGTCCCCTCACAACCCAGAAGTCCCTCTAGAGGCTGTCTGGTAGACAGCCACTAGAGATGGAGTTTAGCCTTAAAGGTAATTATTGCCGTTTATTAAAAACTGCAGTAATTATCTTTGCATGGTTAAGGGACCTGGGAGACTGCACCAGACCACTTTAAAGAGCTGAAGTGGTAGAAGTGCCTATAGCGTACCTTTGACATTCGGTCAGCGTGCAGAATGATGATGCCAAACCTAGCTAATGCTTCTCATTGAGAAGTATTGGATTCAATGCTTGGTAATGCTTTGGTTACTGCCAAAGGTCCTCATTGTTGTTTTTTTATGACAAGTATGTGTCTGGACGAGAGATCATCAGGAGTTCTCACCATGTGTGAATCGGGCAACAAGATAATGTCAATGCACTGCATTGTAGGCAAGTTTCACAGCTTTTCATAAAGCCCATTATTTATTCCAAACCATCGAGTGCTCCTTCATTTCTTAATGTAATAGAAGCCGAGGGCAGCACCATGGGAGATGAGCCAATACTAGAAGCACTGCTACCTGCAAATGCACTTCACACTGTTAGGTAACACACCAGTTCTTTGTCAAGAACAAATATAGAGAGTGTAGTTTATATAACTAAATATATACTAGATTAATGCATTGACCCACAGTATATTTTATCTTTAAAAAGACCCGGTGGGGTTCAAACAGCGATCCATGTTTGCTTGTTGTAACAGTTTAGTTACACTTCAAAAAAGAAAACAACAAGGTATGTGAAATATAAATATATAAACTGTTTTAGAGCAGTTTTGACTTCTTACCTAAGGTCTGTTAGGTGCCAGACCCTGCCTCATCTACAGCATCCAGGTGAGCAGGAAACTCTCAGTCTCAGCTAACCCTGTCAGTGCAGGGCTTAGTTCATTAACTGACAACAAACAGCCGACGCTCTCAGTGAATTAGCTGGCCCTGCACTGCTGCCGAGAGTGGTGCACATCAGAACATAGATAAGTAGCCAGGTCATTCTAAAACTATTTGCAATCTACTTGCAAAGGAAAGTGTAAGGCCACTCCTTGCAGCTTATCCATAACAGCCTGCTCATTGGCCAAGAGCTCAGCTGACACATTTAGCCAACCCTGCACAGTTATGTTTGTAGTGTCCCTTTAAACAGTTTAGTAGATGTACCTCCAAAGTGGTCTGGGTGCAGTGGCCTTTAAGTCCAGCAATGTAAGCATTGTAATTTTAAAGATAAGGAAATGTTTACAAGCTAAAGTAGAGGGTGCTTCTGCTGGTACAACAGAGTTTCCCTCAGTAATGTGATGTTCCAGGTCCTTGTGTATTTCATGAGGACATGGAACATTTTAAAATCATATAATAGAGAAGCATTTCATTCAGTTCTTCCCTATGAGCAGCATTTGATTGTATGAGAAGACTACAGCCTGAGGGATGACCTCATGGGTGGCGGAGCAGGAGGATGCACAGAGTGAGTCTGAGCACTGGGGAAAAAAAAAAAGGTGACGAAGACCCTTTTCTTTTTAATTTAGATTAGGGGGCCCTAAATTTAAAAAGGGAGTACAAAAATATAACGTTGAAAATACATGTTTGTATTCCAAACGTTATAGTGCAGCTTTACTATGTACAGTGACTCCAGACTTTGGCGCTTTTACAAGCATACAAATAAAAAGTGGGTAGGAGAAAAAAACGAGATAATCTCATAGGGTATACTGCTAAAATGAATACATATATTTAAACCATGCAATTAAAAAAGAGACATGGTAGATTCTCACATTTGCTTAGAATTTTACCAGCAATCCCTATGGGAGTTACCAATGCCTACTTTTGGTTCAATAGCAGTAATACAGATATGTGAAAGGGTGAACTGGGCAGAGATGAGTCTTTTGCTTTCCATCTATATTACAATGGAACTATGCATGTCCATAAAACCAGAACTGCAATGGTGAAAAACCATAGGTGAATAAAGAATGTAATGGTTGTTCTATCTTGGCCTATAATTTGAAATTAATTTTGAATTCCTGACTATTCATATTTTAATGAATAACAATGTAAATAAAAAAAGCAAGAATGACAAATTTTGTTCATTAGGCAACACCTTACTTTCCAATCCTTCATCTCCGCAAGAACAGTGTGGTAAAGACACACTTTCCAAGGATTTGGAGGCAGCCAAGCCCTTAAATAAGAGAAAGAACAAAGGAGATTAGCTTGTTTTATAAATTCAGTTATAAGCACTATCCTAGCTATTCATATTAAAGCACACACCCAAGGCATGAGAATTGCATTATTTTGTAACGGGTGCTTTATGAACGCAGCAGATTTATTAGGGTCCACAATTACCATTAACTGAGAACTTTGCATTATGATATGATGTGCGCGTAACAGCACATGCATAACCACAAAAGAGAACCATTGTTCAACAGAGCACATGTCTGTTTTGTAAAGTGGTTATAGTGCTTGGATTGTTGGTTTTAGACAAAAAATAACAAATCACATTGATAACTTATTCCAAAATATATTTTTTTATTTTTCTTCTTAAAGGGGGTACTTGTATCCAATATTATTGTGGTTTAGAAAAAAAATTAAAAAATATTACATTGAAAATGTCCTAGGATACTGCCTAGTGTGCCTAGGCAATTGTTAGTCAAAGAAATGACATGTTGACACTTATTTTATATTCAATTAAAAGTCAAAGCTCATTTAACAAGAATAATGCCAGTATATGAAGAAATGACAATCTTCCAATGCCTATAATAGAAAGCAAAACTCAACTATACTTTTAAATTCTGGTAAATTCACAGGCAAAAATGTGGACTAAAAAAATTATATCACATATATATACACAATATCAGTTGGTGGATTATAAAGCACAAACATGTAAGTTGTAGATTTACCTTTGCTAAAATTTTTAAGTCTCTTTTCCGTAAGGGCAGTCCATGAAGTTCCAAACTACTCAAGGAATTTGATACACTTAAACACCCTGCAATGGATGCGCATAACTGAAAAGTCATGTCCTTTGAATGAATGGGTGGAACACGTCTTTTGAAATAGATTCCAAGCTTTTCTGCACCTGTCACCAAAAATGATACATAATTAGAAACAAACACACAGAAGGATTCAGGTTTGAATTTATAAAGGAGTAAATTGTAGAGATTAAAATCCTCAAGAATTTTCATCTCTGTTTGTTCTTTAAACTATAACATAAGTCTACATAAAAAAAGTCACCAGAAAAACTACAGCTTATTGTATTTGCTCTGGTTAGTAGAATCATTACCTTCAGACTTTTTTGCAGTAAACACAGTCTTTTCAGAGAAAATTCAGGGTTTACATTACAGCCTAGGGACACCTCCACTCATCAGATGCTTACAAGAGGTGCTTCCTGGTGCAGTGTTGCACAGAGTGCAGCACTGCCAGTGTCTCCACGTTCTGCATGAATACACTGAACTTTTCTCATATAGATGCATTACTTCAATTAATATCTATGAGGAGATGCTGATTGGCCAGGGCTGTGTTTGACTTGTGCTGGCTCTGCCCCTGATATGCTTCCTTGACAAGCTCAACCAATCCTATTGAAAAGCATTGTAATTGGTTCAGAGAATCACATCTGATGATGTCAGGGGCAAAGCCAGCAGCTGCAGACTTGAATGCAAGCAAGATTTGACTGTATTTAGGGAGGCAAGTGGGGGGGCAGGGGATCTAGGTGGTGGTTTTAGCACTATAGGGTCAGGATACTTGTTTGTGTTTCTGACTCTATAGTGTTCATTTAATCCAGGAGGGAGCCAGGGCACTCCTAGCATCAAAATCACTACAGCGGACTGCAGATGTTATGGTGCTTGGATTATTCCTCAGAACAGGACCGGTGTGACTGCTAGGCGGCCTAGGGCGCACAGCACTCCCCTCCTGCTGGTCACTGTATGTAGTGTGACCGTGCTGCGGTCCACGGTAGGGGGGAGAGGAGGGCAAAGGTACGCATAGGGCCTTCCCTTGGCCCTCTGTGTGCCTCTTCCCCCATCCCCTCGACCTGCTGTGAAGGCTTCTCTCAGCCCTCTGGGGGAAAAGGCACACAGAGGGCTGAGAGGAGGGGGGAAAAAGGCACACAGAGGGCTGAGAGGAGGGGGGGAAAGGCACACAGAGGGCTGACAGGAGGGGGGAAAAGGCACCCATAGGGCTGACAGGAGGGGGAGGAAAGGGATTAGGGGACAAAGAAACACAGAGGGGCTATTGGGACAAAGAGACACACAGAGAGGCTGGGATGAACAAAGACACACAGAGAGGCTGGGAGGAACAAAGACACACAGAGGGGCTGGGAGGAACAAAGACACACAGAGGGGCTGGGAGGAACAAAGCCACACAGAGAGGCTGGGAGGAACAAAGACACACAGAGAGGCTGGGAGGGAGAAAGACACACAGAGAGGCTGGGAGGGACAAAGACACACAGAGAGGCTGGGAGGGACAAAGACACACAGAGAGGCTGGGAGCGCCAATGAGACACAGAAAGGCAAGGGAGGACAAAGAAACACACATATGAAAGACAGCATCTTTTACTATGGAAGCTGTAACAGAAACAGCCAGCTTCCATTTGACAGGCTGAAGGCGAGGTTAAGCGCAACAAGAGATTTGAATGAGAATGTGGGTATAAAGAGCAGCACACATGAAGAGTTGGTCAGCCCCAGGACCTGACATGCTCCACAACTACTGGATAAAGACTTTAACAGCGCTGCTAGCAGCACAAATGAACCAGCTACAAGCAACAAGCTCCCACCCTGACTGGCTAACACAAGGCAGAACAATACTGATCATGAACAACAATCACAAGGGAACAACACCATCCAACTACTGACCAATAACCTACCTCCCCACAACATGGAAATGCCTGTCAGGCATCGTAGCCTCCAAGATCCAAAGGCATATGAGTCAATATATGAGCAATACTTAGAAGGGGATTGGAAACACCAGACGATCAAAACACCAACTACTGGTAGACTAAGCAGTCACAAGGGATTATAAGGCCAGACAGACCAATCTGTGCACAACCTGGATTGACTACAAGAACGCCTGTGACACAACCTCTCTACAAGATCAGAAAAACAATAAGAGCCTTCATCAAGACCTCGATGGGCAATTGCAAAACAACTCTAGAAGCCAATTCCAGTACAATAACACAAGTGAACATCAAGGTGATGCGCTATCCCCAATGCTGTTCTGCATAGGCTAGAGATATAAAATTTCCGGAAATTTTGAAGCTCGGAAAAATTGAAAAAAATGCTACATTAGCACTTTGTCTTTTTAAGATTGAAAGTCATTCTGTTACTTTAGGAACATAAAATATGACTATGGACAATTTGGCATAAAATTATCACAACTAGCATATTAAAAATATAGTGTAGCCAAACAATTATCACAAACAGAATTTACTTTTTTTAAATATTTATTTGTAACAAAGGGAGCAACAATCTCCTTAACTGCTTATGTGGAACAGCCAAAAAGCCTCTACAAAACAATTTTCAAAAGCAAAAGTAACAATTTTTTTATATTTCCTCTCCACAGTATTAAATAAAAAAAATGAAGATGGGAGAAGTGTTAAAGGGACACTATAGTCACCTGAACAACTACAGCTTAATGTAGTTGTTCAGGTGAGATCTATAGCTCCCTGCAGGCAATCTAATGCAAATACTGTATTTTCAGAGAAAATACAGTGTTTACATTGATTGATAGGAATACCTCCAGTGGCCGTCACTCAGACGGCCACCAGAGGGACTTCCAATCATGTAGGGGCCTAAAAAGGCCTTGTACATGTCAGAGGGCGGCATGAATGCCAGCGTCTGATTGCTCCCTGCTCGCACCCGCCTATTTCGTCATTTTGACGAAATAAGGGGGGCGCGGCTTCACGAGGCTCCCGGCACTGGAACCAGGTGAGTAAAATCCTCTGCCTGGAGAGTCCCTTTAAGAAGAGAGTGGGACTAAGTTTCAATGGACATTTAATCAGAATCATTTTCTGAGGTGAAATTGTCAGTATCCGTCTCTGCTTCTGCAGCTACTCTTTTTTGTCCGTCATCACAATTAGGAACCTCTAAAAACTGAAGGTTTCCCCGGATCAAAACAAGCTTCTCAAAACAGAACAGAATCCCAGATTGCATTCCTGGACCAAATCCCTGAAGATGTTATGTAACATTTGAAAGTACCTTCCCAACATCAAGTCCTAAATGTGATGCTTGTTTTGTGATCCAGTAGCAGTGTCATCATCACTTATGTTTGCACCTTTGAGTCTTGGATCCAACAGATTTGCAGCCATGACCCAAGAAGGATCTCTAACAGCCATCTGAGGAGTGGCCAGTGAAGTTATCACTAGGCTGTAATGTAAACACTGCATTTTCCCAGAAAAGACAGTGGTCACAGCAAAAAGCCTGAAGGTAATGATTCCACTCACTAGAACAAATTCAATAAGCTGTAGTTGTTCTGGTGACTATAGTGTCCCTTTAAAATTTGCGCCTACGAATCCTTTAGACAAATTCAGTGTATATGTTAGATCTAAATAGATTCAAAAGAAAAATGTGAAAAAAAAATATTTAAAAAAAAATTCAATTGAAAGGTCATTAATTCATATAGAAAATAAAGGTTTTGTACATACAGAACTTAGGGAAAATTTGACATTTTACCCTAGATTAAGAAAATGACTACGTTTGAGAAAATGGTCACGAGGAAGATCGATAAAATTAAAAAACCACACCAAAGTCAGTATAACCTTAACTTTGGCGAAAGACAAGCACTTAAAGAATTGAGACAAGACGACACCATATGGATAAAACCAGCCCTCAAGGGCAAGGGAATAGTTATTTTAAATAGTGAGGACTATACACAAGAGGCTATCAGTCAAATAAGTGACGCTAGTACCGATAAAATTTTAAGTAAAGACCCAAGTAGAGAAATGAAAAATGAATATGATAAACTCATAGAAGAAGGAAAATGTTTGGGAATTCTTAATAAAAAAGAATATACATTTTTAAACATTGCACACCCAAAGATACTGGTATTTTCCATCATATCGTATAATTTACCAAAGATCCATAAGGATAGAAACAAAGCCACAGGAAGGCCTATTGTCTCTGGAATTGGGTCAATTTCAAGTAAGTTGTCCCAATACATAGACAAGTGCCTTCAACCAATAGTATGTAAATGACTTAGTTATCTTAAAGGACCACTATAGTGCCAGGAAAACATACTCATTTTCCTGGCACTATAGTGCCCTGAGAGTGCCCCCACCCTCAGGGTCCCCCTCCCGCCGGGCTCTGGGGAGAGGAAAGGGGTTAAACTTACCATTTCTCCAGCGCCGGGCGGGGAGCTCTCCTCCACCTCTCTGCCTCCGACCCTCCTCTTCGGCTGAATGTGCATGCGCGGCAGGAGCTGCGCGCGCATTCAGCCAGTCTCATAGGAAAGCATTTATAATGCTTTCCTATGGACGCTGGCATCTTCTCACTGTGATTTTCACAGTGGGAAGCGTGGAAGCGTCAATGAGACAGCCACTAGAGGCTGGATTAATCCTAATGTAAACATAGTTTCTCTGAAACTGCTATGTTTACAGCTGCAGGGTTAACCCTCGATGGACCTGGCACCCACACCACTTCATTGAGCTGAAGTGGTCCTTTAAGACCAGACAAGCAAAAATCTACCAATTGAAAGTGGAACACCTTTTCCTTGGCAACAAGAAGATGAAGTTACAAGCACGTGTAGCCTTAAAACGTCAGAACATTTTATGAAAGAAAAGGTTTGTACATGTGGTGAGATAAGCAAAATGCAGATCTGTTGTGTAAGCAGGGTCCGGCTGGGAATGCAAAGCAGCCCTGGAAAAAAAAAAGTATGCCAGCCCTATAAGTCACTGTGCCACGGTTATATATATATATATATATATATATATAAAATATTATATATACACATACATACACACACACACACACATTATATAATAAATATATACACACACTACCATGGCACAATGACTTATAGGCATACATTTTTTCCATATATATATATATATATATATATATATATATATATCCTTTAGTGAGAATGTCAAATAACCCCTAATAACAATTAAAAGGACCTAGAGTGGTCCTTTAAAGATACCTTAAATATTCAAGTGTTGGCAGACTACCAATGGAATAAAAATAGTTTTTTAGTAATAGCAGATGTCAGCTCACTGTACACTATTATTTCACATGAAAGAGGATGCCAAGCTGCTAAACACTTTTTAGAACATTCACAGACATTTTTGGATGTGCAGATAGACTCTTTAATCAAAGGTATTAAATGGATTTTAAACAAAAAATATTTTTAGTTTAGAGAAAACTTTTATCTACAGACATGTGGCACGATCACGCCCAGCTATGCTAATCTATTTATGGCATTATGGGAACAAAAATTAATCTATGAAGACCATAGATGGGATGCGGACCTCGTTGTCTATCGCCGTTACATTGATGACATTTTTTATTTGGCAAGGCGATTAGATTACTCTTAAATCATTTTTAACACATTTTAATAATAAATGATTGGGGCATTAAACTTATGACCAATTTTAGCAAAGTTTCAGTGGAATTTTTAGACCTCAATATATATGTTGAGGATAAACGACTTAAAACTTGCACAGTTTTTTAAAAAGTAGATGTCTCTACATTTTAAGAAAGAACACAATAGTGATCCCAGTTACCTCCAGTTCTTTGCAATTCAGAAAATATTAACAGACTGGAGAGTTGGCAACTTTATTAGGAAAATTGGGAAAAAAGAAATGCAATGGATCTTCAATCTTAACACAATGATTATTTTGAGCTGTGTAATTTTTTTGTAAAAATATATTTTTTATATATCTTTTAGTAATTTCATAAAGATATATCCAATTTCATTTATTTTTAAATTCAAAATATTCCATTTTTAAAGAGTTTTAAATAATAAAAAAGAAAAAAGTATTTTTTTATTTTTTTTTAACAGTTCTTAAATCACATTGAGATTTGTTGTGCACTTTATCACTTGGTATCAACTGGTTATTCCCTCTGACAATTCACTTTAACTACACCTAATTGTACTGTATTCACTTGCATTTTATTATGCAGATACGAAGTGTACATGATTAAGACAATTTATTTCAATTACACCTAATCATATTGTATTTATATGCATTTTAATTATTCATATATAAACAGCATATATGTATATTTTGTATATATATCAATTTGTATAATAATGTTGATTTAATATACCATTTTCCCTGATTTTTAACCGTTTGTTTTCTTTTGTATGTGTTTTACTAATGAGCCACATTAATCCCAATGACTTGCTGGGAAGATGGATAACAATATACTTTCATTTCTAACACCGGCATAGAAGAGAATTTACCACAATAAAAATGGCTGAGAAACATAGGAAATTATGTTATCCTTAGTACTTCTATGAACTATACACGGACCATGTAAAAACATGCCCTATTCATGACGCCGCACGTGACGTATTTTGCCATGTGGGGTATCATGTGACCGGGCTAAAACACTCCATCTGATACAGCTGATTCAAGCACACACCTACGGAAATCAAGAATCCACTTGGAGTATTCCCTAAACGAATCACCAATCAGCAGGAATGAGGAGAGATTTAAACCGTCAATATGCAGCATGATGGACACCGATTGAGAAAGCGGTTACTATACAGCGAAACGCGTTTCAGGAAGGACGATCTGAAAGGACTTTTTAATTGATTTCTTTATATTATTTGAGTTGTTACATTTGTTTAATAAATATTATTTTATTAAGAACACAAGTCAACCTCCTACCATCTGCTGCTTAAAAAAAATGTTGTTGCCCCCTTAAGTTATTGAATCTTTCAGCACTCCACAATCACACTAGTGGTGGATCATACATATTTTCTTTTCCACTTAGTGCATAGACCTATTTATGCATATTTCTATAGGGGAGGAGAGTCCCTATACAAATGTGGTAGCTGCTAATAAAATATTTATTAAATTTGTACAAAAGCGCCAATTCTGCACACAGATTTATTATTTTTTAATCCTATACAAATATTCATTTCTAAAGTTAGAGGGTTCCTTTAAGAAACACCATTAGTAAAAAAAAGTCCTTTAAACAATAAAAACTAGAAAACAGACACTAGAAATGAACAAACTAAATACAGAGAGAACTCAAGTAACAAATTTGCTATGCAAAAATGTGAATTTAATAATAATCTTTAACACAGATCATATATGTTTTTGATCAATCCCTCTAGAACAGTGGTTCCCAACCCAGTCCTCGAGTACCCCCTAACAGTCCAGGATGTAGGGATTACCAAGTTGTTTCTAAGGTGTTTTTAGTAGAAGAAAAAAAAAAAAGAAAAAAAAAAAACACTTCAGACACAACAGGGTAATCCCAAAATCCTGGACTGGCAGGGGGCACTTGAGGACTGGGTTGGGAACCACTGATTTAAAACCTCATGAATTAAGACAGTGTAAGGTTTTTTGTTTAAAACACTGGAAAATGCATATATAAAGATTTTTTACAAACCTGAATCGCTGAGTCCTGGCTGATGGCAACTTTTTATTGAAATACTTTTCAAATTCTTGTTAATTTTCAGAGAATTGAGAATAGGTGGCCAGTCAGAAACTTTTACCCTATCCGCATTAAAACATAGGGTCCTGTGCCCGTAGCTGGTTCTTATAGCTGGTACTGGGACTGAGTCTTGTATTGCACACAGGGATTCATAGTGCGAATGAAAGTCCACAGCTCCATGACGACGTATTTGAACTGAGTCAATCATTTTTAAATTAATACTTCTTCCTGTTAGGGGGTGAAATACATTTTTTTTTTAAATCACAATGTTTTGGGTTATCATATCAACTATTTTAAAACACAATAAAACTAGCCATATCCTTCCATATAAAAAGTTATCACATAAGCGAGAAGAAAAAGGAGCGTAAAGCCAACTATTTAATGCAGAGGTAAGTGTTGCGGTGATTAGCCAACTCATTTGTTGGCCAGTACTGGATTTGCCAGAAGGAACTTGCCTAAAGGCATCGCTCTGATTGGGACACTTTTTAATAGCTTTTTTATGTATACATCTAATTTCTGCTGTTGTTATGGTATTGTATGCAAATGATACTCACAAACATTTAGTCAAAGTTCCAGATCATTACCAAACTCAAGAGTGGTATCCGTAGCATTCAAGGAAGATTGAAAGTTTGTTGTAAAAGACATGTAATTTGCATTTTCTGCATTATTTTTTTTTAAAGTTGTGTATACATGGCACAAACTTTACATGCAATATAACTTTACAAGCTGTAGTAGTTATGGTGCAAGAAAAGCCCTGGGCCCCTACCCCCATGGTCAGTAGGCAAAGCATTTAAGAAGGATTTCACTCCTTACCAGGAGTCTGACAGCTGCTACTCTCTTCCTTCACTGTAGGAGAGCTGGATTCTCCTGCTTAGTAGCTTTCATTAGTTCTCCTAAACCAAGCATTGCAGTACACAGCTAGCTTATTGGCTGAGAGTGTCAGCTTCTGGCCTTATGAAGGCTGTAGTGTAGTCTTCCCCATTAAGGCAAGACAGTGCCCTGGCCCTCCAGACACTGTAACAACTTCATTGAGATCAAGTTGTTTTGGTGCCTGTAGTGTTCCTTTAACCCCTTCAGGACCGAGGACGGTTCAGGACCGCCATCTGCATTGCCAACCGGTGACGGTCCTGAACCGTCCTAACGGTGCAATGTACTTACCCGATCGCCGTCGTTCCCCCGGCGGTGATCAGCGTTGCAACCGTTGTGGGGAGACTGCCTGCAGCCCAGACAGTCTCCCCGTGGCGGATTAGGACCCCTGGGGCCATGTGATCGCTCAACAGAGCGGTCACAATAGGTGTCCATGTGTATGCCTGCAGGGGGACTGCCTGTGCTGACAGGCAGTCTCCCTGCTAGTGTAAAATCATAAAAAATAAAAAAAATGAAAGTTAATGTTAATAAAATTTTAAAAAAAAATCATATATTATATATATATATATATATATATATATATATATAATGTCATACTAAGTGTATTTTTATATTAATATGTACATATATTAATATAAAAATACACTTATAATTAAATTACACACACATATATATATAATAACTATATATAGTGTATATAAATTTTATTATAAAATACAAATAAGTAATTCAAATTAAATAGAAACGTAAAAATAATAAAAAATATATCTATTTGAAATTTTATTCTAACTGTATTTTGATATATATATATATATATATATATATCTCAAAATACACTTAGAATGAAATTGTATATATATATATATATATATATATATATATATATATATATATATATATATATATATATATATATATATATATCTATGTATTTATAAATAAATATAAATAATACGAAATATACATATGTCCATATACAAAATTACATAATTATATAAATATACACGTAGACTTCAAATATATAAATATGCATATATATTTAAATTCTACGTGCGTATTTATGTAATATTTTTACATAATTAAGTAATTTTATTGATTGCAATTTGAGGGACCTGCCTGCCAACCCAGGCCGAACGTCCAGAGAATTTAATTTGCTAGCACTATATTTTACTCTGTAACTTTCTATAACACCCTTAAACCTATACATGGGTGGTACTATTTTACTCGGGAGACTTCGCTGAACACAATTATTAGTGATTCAAAACAGTAATACATATCACAGCGATGATATTGTCAGTGAAAGTGACTTTTTTTTTTGCATTGTTCACACACAAACAGCACTTTTACTGCTGATATAATTGTTGTGATACGTTTTCCTGTTTTGAAACACTAATATTTGTGTTCAGGAAAGTCTCCCGAGTATAACAGTACCCCATCCCCATGTACAGGTTTTATAGCGTTTTTTGAAAGTTACAGGGTCAAATATATGGCTCAAATATTTTTACATTGAAAAAGGCCAGGTTGGTTACATTGCCTTTGAGAGCGTATGGTAGCCCAGGAATGAGAATTACCCCCATGATGGCATACCATTTGCAAAAGAAGACAAGCCAAAGTATTGCAAATGGGGTATGTCCAGTCTTTTTTAGTAGCCACTTAGTCACAAACACTGGCCAAAATTAGCATTCAATTTAGTTTTTTACTTTTTTCACAGAAAAACAAATATGAACGCTAACTTTGGCCAGTGTTTTCGACTAAGTGGCTACTAAAAAAGACTGGACATACCCCATATTGAATACCTTGTGTTGTCTACTTTAAAAAAAAAAAAATATGTACATGTGGGGTGTTATTCAGAGATTTATGACAGATAATAGTGTTACAATGTCTTTATTGATAAATTTTAAAAATGTATGTTTTAAAACAGCAATTCTACCTATAGCCCTATAACTTGTAAAAAAAAAAAAAAAAAGCAAAAAGGCATGTAAAAAAGGCATGGTTGTTTTTAAACTCAGGACAAAATTCTTAAAGGACCACTATAGTGCCAGGAAAACATACTCGTTTTCCTGGCACTATAGTGCCCTGAGGGTTGTCCCCACTCTCAGGGACCCCCTCCCGCCCGGCTCTGGAAGGGGGAAAGGGGTAAAAACTTACCTTTTTCCAGCGCTGGGCGGAGAGCTCTCTGCCTCCTCTCCTCCTCCGTTACGCCCCGCCGGCTGAATGCGCACGCGCGGCAAGAGCTGCGCGCGCATTCAGCCGGTCACATAGGAAAGCATTCATAATGCTTTCCTATGGACGCTTGCGTGCTCTCACTGTGAAAATCACAGTGAGAAGCACGCAAGCGCCTCTAGTGGCTGTCAATGAGACAGCCACTAGAGGATTAGGGGGAAAGCTTAACCCATTCATAATTATAGCAGTTTCTCTGAAACTGCTATAATTATGAAAAAATGGGTTAACCCTAGAAGGACCTGGCACCCAGACCACTTCATTTAGCTGAAGTGGTCTGGGTGCCTAGAGTGGTCCTTTAATCTATTCAGCAGTTTTTTTTCCATTCGCTTTAGTAGATGAGTAAAATATTTTTCAAGTAAAAGTAAAAAAACATGTATTTTTTTCAATGTTTCATCATTTTTTGTTATTTTCTTTAAATTAAATTACATGAGATTATATAAATAATGGTATGTAAAGAAAGCCCCTTTTGTCCTGAAAAAAACAATATATAATTTGTATGGGAACAGTAAATGAGAGAGCGGAAAATTACAGCTAAACACAAACACCACAAAAGTGTAAAAAGAGGCCTGGTCGCAAATGTACAACATCGCAAAAACAGTCCGGTCCTTAAAGGACCACTATAGTGCCAGGAAAACAAACATACTCGTTTTCCTGGCACTATAGTGCCCTGAGGGTTGTCCCCACCCTCAGGGACCCCCTCCCGCCCGGCTCTGGAAGGGGGAAAGGGGTAAAAACTTACCTTTTTCCAGCGCTGGGCGGAGAGCTCTCTGCCTCCTCTCCTCCTCCGTTACGCCGAATGCGCACGCGCGGCAAGAGCTGCGCGCGCATTCAGCCGGTCGCATAAAAAGCATTTACAATGCTTTCCTATGGACGCTGGCGTGCTCTCACTGTGAAAATCACAGTGAGAAGCACGCAAGCGCCTCTAGTGGCTGTCAATGAGACAGCCACTAGAGGGAATAGGGGGAAGGCTTAACCCATTAGTAAACATAGCAGTTTCTCTGAAACTGCTATGTTTATTAAAAAATGGGTTAACCCTAGCTGGACCAGGCACCCAGACCACTTCATTAAGCTGAAGTGATCTGGGTGCCTAGAGTGGTCCTTTAAGGGCTTAAAGTAGTACTGTCACTTGTGTAGAGGTGGCAGAGTGGATAACAAAAGGGGAGATATCTGTATTCCTGACAGATGCCACTTCAGGAAAGCTTATGGCCTCCCAGAGTAATCTCTACCTCCTGCTCTCTCCTATGGGACAGTGCTTTGCTCTCTCCTCCAGCTCTGCTTCACCCCTACTTGATATTTCTTGTCCTAATGTTTCTAATACCCCACCTCCTATAGTCTGTAAGTTCGTTTGAGCAGGATCCTCTTCAACCTATTGTTCCTGTAAGTTTTCTTGTAATTGTCCTATTTATTGTTACATCCCCCCTCTCAAAATATTGTAAAGCGCTACGGAATCTGTTGGCGCTATATAAATGATAATAATAATAATAATAATAATAATAATAATAATAATATGTATCTATTGTACAAAGAACAAGATAATGCCATTCCAATAAGGTATAGCAACTGATGTGATTGAAAAGCTGCCTCTTGCTAAAGCTGGGAATTACATGTGACAAAGTAGGCCCTACTTTGTCTTTATGGATGTGTCATGAAAGTGTTAATGAACTTTCATATAGACTCCTTTGCAAAAGCTCACAAATAGCAGGCATCTTTAATATTTCTTAAACTGCAAGAAGCCTCACAAGTTATCAACATGGTTGGGACTTGTTGCAAGGAGTCATTTATTCAGCAATTAGTAATGCTGCAAACATTCAATGCAGAAGCTAGTAATACTGAGATACTAGCACAAGTCGCAATGGCCCTGTGACATATCTAGTGGTACAGTGACATGTTAGTACAGCATTTAGTTAATGCAGAGGTTAAGGAACTAAGACTAATGTGGCAGATACCGATACAATGACTAGTTAAAACAACTGTTGGCAGCACTGTCAGTGGATCAATCAAGGTTACAATGACTAGTAAGTGCTGTAATTAGTTATATAGTAACTAGCTAGTGCAGTAATTAGTAATACTAGTAAAAACACCGTAGTTAGTGGCACTGTGACTAGTGTCAGCAGTAATTTGTGGCACTGTGATTTGTTACTGTAGCAATGCATAGATTAGCAGTGAAAAGGCTGCTTAATGCAGTTAGTCACTAATTGGTATTGGTACAGTTACTAGTTAAATCCTGCTGCCACTAACATAGACCAGTTATATAACAAAACTACACAGAGCTGATTATAAAAAAAACACCCACCTTTGCAGCAGATAAAGGAAAGGGATGACAAGCAGTGAGACAGGCTGCTGTTACCCCCCGTGTGATGGCTGCTGTTACCCCTGTGTGATGGCTGCTGTTACCCCCTGTGTGATGGCTGCTGTTACCCCCCTGTGATGGCTGCTGTTACCCCCCTGTGTGATGGCTGCTGTTACCCCCCTGTGTGATGGCTGCTGTTACCCCCGTGTGATGGCTGCTGTTACCCCCCTGTGATGGCTGCTGTTACCCCCTGTGTGATGGCTGCTGCTACTACCCCTGTGATGGCTGCTGTTACCCCTGTGTGATGGCTGCTGTTACCCCTGTGTGTGATGGCTGCTGTTACTTCCTGTGTGATGGCTGCTGTTACCCTGTGTGATGGCTGCTGTTACCCCTGTGTGATGGCTGCTGTTACCCCTGTGTGATGGCTACTGGCTGCTGTTACCCCTGTGTGATGGCTGCTGTACCCTGTGTGATGGCTGCTGTTACCCCCCTGTGATGGCTGCTGTTACCCCTGTGGTGATGCTGTTACCCCTGTGTGATGGCTGCTGTGTACCCCGCTGTGATGGCTGCTGTTATGTGGTATGGCTGCTGTTACCCTGTGTGATGGCTGCTGTTACCCCTGTGTGATGGCTGCTGTTACCCCTGTGTGATGGCTGCTGTTGTGTGATGGCTGCTCGCTGTGTGATGGCTGCTGCTTTCCCTGTGTGTGATGGCTGCTGTTACCCCCTGTGTGATGGCTGCTGTTACCCTGTGTGATGGTGCTGCTGTTACCCCTGTGTGATGGCTGCTGTTTGGCTGCCCCCTGTGATGGCTGCTGTTACCTCCTGTGTGATGTGCTGCTGTTACCCCTGTGTGATGGCTGCTGTTACCCTGTGTGATGGCTGCTGCTACTTCCCTGTGATGACCCCTGTGATGCTGCTGTTACCCCTGTGTGATGGTGCTGTTACCCCCTGTGTGTGATGGCTGCCTGTGTGACTTGCCCTGCGGCTGCTACCCCTGTGTGGCTGCTGTTACTCCCTGTGATGGCTGCTTGTTACCCCCCTGTGTGATGGCTGCTGTTACCCTGTGTGATGGCTGCTGTTACCCCCTGTGTGATGGCTGCTGTTACCCCTGTGTGATGGCTGCTGTTACCCCCTGTGTGATGGCTGCTGTTACCCTGTGTGATGGCTGCTGTTACCCTGTGTGATGGCTGCTGTGCTGTCCATAAATGAGCGCTGTCCCTGGTTGGCTCGCCTGGCGTCGCTGGGTTCCCTTGGTTTCCTAACCGTCCTGCAGGCCCCGCCCACCTACCGCCTACCTGTTTCCTGCTCTCCGCCCGGAGACCTTCCTCTTCCTTTCTCTCCCGCTCCCGCCTTTTCCCTCTTCATGTCTCTCATGCTGATGGCTGCCTCCTACAGCTTTCACCTAACGGCTCGTGTGCGCTCGATCACTGTCACTGCGGCGAACAGCGCACCGATTCCTGATTACCCAACCACTCACTCACTCACTGACCCACATCTGATTACACACTCACTCACTGACCGACATCTGATTACACACTCACTCACTGACCGACATCTGATTACACACTCACTCACTGACCCACATCTGATTACACACTCACTGACCAACGTAATTGACTCCTGTTTATCCGCTTACTCACTGACTGACTCCAACTCAACTACTCACCCACCTCTGTTTACCCATTGATTCACAGACTTACTCCAGAGAGGGGTTTGTGAAACCTTTTAGTTGATAAATGACTAGTTGCATTGTGTGCTTAGCAGTGCATGGAATTGAAACCTGTAAAGATAGGTCAAAACTTTATGGATCCTGGACTATCACACCTATAGGAGCTTAGAGGATGTTAATTTACAAAACCATGGCTTTTAAAGGACCACTATAGGCACCCTGACCACTTCAGCTCAATGAAGTGGTCTAGGTGCCAGGTCCATCCACAGGCATAGGCAACCTTCAGCACTCCAGATGTTTTGGACTACACTTACCATGATACTTTGCTTGCATTTTGGGTGTGAGAGCATTATGGGGGATGTAGTCCACAACATCTGGAGTGCTGCAGGTTGCCTATCCCTAGGATTAACCCTTTCTGCTGTAAACTGAAACTGCTATGTTTCTAAATGGGTTAACCAGCCTCTAGTGGCTGTCTTATTGACAGCTGCTAGAGGCACTTCCGCGCTTCTCACTGTGATTTTTCACAGTGGGAAGATGCCAGCGTCCGTAGGAAAAGTTGCTCCACACTTCTTCACTTATCTTGATATGTGCACAGGGGCACAATCATGGAGGAACTAGAAAGGTCTCAATTTTATGCATCTTTTAGAAATCTAACTGAATACAAATTAGTGAGGCGAAAATAGTCTGGGTTATGTTAGAATTTAATAATTGCACAGTAACACGTATAGGTGTGATTGTATAGGCCCCCTGGACAAATAGAAGCATTAGATAATATGCATTGAAGGGGTAAATTATATCATAAGTGACTTTCATCTTCTGCTGTGTACTGGAAGACCAAAATAGCTGCTTGTGCGAGAAGTACACATTTTGTAAATACAACTCACAAGGAGGTCATACTAGATTTAGTGTTAACAAATGGAGATTTGGTATCAGATATTACTGTAGGTGAAAGTTTAGGATCTAGTGATCATCAGTCAGTGTGCTTTAATCTGAAAGCTGACTAAGTCATACAACACAAAAACAAGTTTTAGCTTTTTGAAAACAAGATTTTTCTAAATCTAGAATATGCATAAAGGTGTCATCAGACTGGAGCAGTTTTTAACCCCTACCCAACTTCTGACGTACCAGGTACATCTGGCAAAAAAAACAGTTGTTACAAACCTCGGATATACCTGGGAAGTCCGCGCCACATTATTCACTTACCTGATCGTGATGTGGGGACTTGCCTGGCATCCCAGGCAGTCCCCCTGCGGCTGATCCGGCCCCCCTTGCCCATGTGATCGCTGGGGTCAAAATACATTTAGAATGACGTTATAAATACATATATCCCCTTAATGAGAAAAAAACGGTCATTAAGGACTGCGGACAAAATAGGAGCCCTGGACCAGCGACCCTGGTCAAAGGGAACTGCCAGAGACCCTGGCTGTCCCCTTGCAGCAGCTTTGGCCACCCCAGCCCTTTAGGGCCATGTGATTACCCGCAATAGGAGTCTATGGAGCTCCCAGCAGGGGAACTGTCAGGCAATCCCCCAAGCTACTAAAAAGTAAAAAATTATATATGTTATACATATATTAAATATGTATATATATGATTTCATTATAAGTGTACTTTGAGATATATACACGTATATCTCAAAACAGACTTATGAAATCATATATGGATAATCTATTATAAAATGCATATATATATATATATATATATATATATATATATATATATATATATATATATATACGTACACACGTATTATACACTGAACAAAATTATAAATGCAACACTTGTTTTTGCCCCCATTTTTCATAAGCTGAACCCAAAGAGCTAAGACTTTTTCTATGTACACAGAAAGCTAATTTCTCTCAAATATTGTTCACAAATCTGTCTAAATCTGTGTTAGTGATCACTTCTCCTTTGCCGAGATAATCCATCCACCTTACAGGTGTGGCATATCAAGATGCTGATTTTATTAAAGACACGGAGGCTCCTATTATGCATTCTCTTTCTTTATTATACTCCCAGCAGCAAGAAAAGGAAGTATGAGAGAATCATATAAAAAACATAACAACAGCCTGATAACAGTGGCACCAATCAGCATCCAGTATTATCCATATGGGTGTGGTGCTCCTTGACTCCTCTTTCTTGCTGCTCCCTCAGACAAGTTAAAGGACCACTCTAGGCACCCAGACCACTTCAGCTTAATGAAGTGGTCTGGGTGCCAGGTCCTTCTAGGGTTAACCCATTTTTTTTTATAAACATAGCAGTTTCAGAGAAACTGCTATGTTTATCAATGGGTTAAGCCAGCCTCCAAATCCTCTAGTGGCTGTCTCATTGACAGCCACTAGAGGCGCTTGCGTGCTCCTCACTGTGATTTTCACAGTGAGAGCACGCCAGCGTCCATAGGAAAGCATTGTAAATGCTTTCCTATGCGACGGGCTGAATGCACGCGCAGCTCTTGCCGCGCGTGCGCATTCAGCCGGCGGGGAGGATCGGAGGAGGCAGAGAGCTCCCCGCCCAGCGCTGGAAAAAGGTAAGTTTTTAACCCTTTCCCCCTTCCAGAGCCGGGCGGGATGGGGTCCCTGAGGGTGGGGACAACCCTCAGGGCACTATAGTGCCAGGAAAAGTATGTTTTCCTGGCACTATAGTGGTCCTTTAAGTACCTCATCTCTTGCTACTCCTGTGATTTTCATATATATATATTTGTATTTGGGTAAAAGATTTTAGCATAGTGTATGTTTATGCTTATTTTATGCTTCACTGTTATTGCTGGTTTATTTACTGCTGGTGTCTGGGAGTGCTGCCTATTAAGAAAAAGGGGTCTCTGGGACCCTGGGTTTTCCCCCTCTGAGTAGTGTTATACTCTTCCCCCTGCTCGTTCCGTTTTTTCTGTGGGTTCAGCAGGGCTGCCCTTAGCTGCTCACTGTTTTGGCCGCGGTCTATTCCGCGGTTTTCTTCCGGTCCGCGCATGCGCGAACGCTCTTTCGCCGGTTTTCCTCTTTTCCTAACGGCCGCGCATGCGCATTACGTGCCGTGGCTGCCATCTTTTTGGTTTCTGTCGCCGCCTATGTAAATTTACTCGCGGCGGCCATTTTAAGTACGTTTTCGGCGGGAAATTGCTGCGGACCGATGCTGTAGGTGGATAACGGTTTCTCCTACCCTCTTGGCGCACTCCCAGACCCATCCTGTGCTTATTTACTGTTTTTGCTGTCATTGCTGGTCAAACTGTAAGTGTTGGTGTGGAGGATTACTCTATCCTGACACCCTTTTTGTCCTTAGCCTTAGCTAGTATACTTTTTTCCCTACAGGTCATTTCAGATACTGTTCTTAACCATTAGCTACTACTAGTGGCATTACCTTATTGGGCCCAATAATTCTAACTCTGAGTGGACTTGGGTGTATTATCCCCTGTGAGTTTATATTATTGCTAAAATGCAAGATCAGAATGAGAGACCTGCAGGGTCTGTGTGTCCTACACCAGGGGTTTTCCCCTCAGACAGGGCATGTAAGGATGACACCAGCCTCATGGCATCGGAGGAATTTCAATCCCTCCTCGATTCCACCATGGCACAATCCATCAACAAGGCGTTAGCCTCCGCGATGGGGGTCATGTCATCCTCTATCACACAATCTATAACCAAAGCGCTGATACAGTCTCAAAGTAGTGGTCCTCAGAGCACACTAAACCCGGGAACCACTAATGTGGTACAACCGGGACGCAAAGCCTTGACGAAAAGCAAACATATTGCCTCCCCTCCAGAACTGCAGGTTCAGCCTGCAATGACTGACACGCCTCAGGCTGTCAAGGATGGCGCGATACCACCGCGCAATAGAGCCCCTGGCCGGGCAAAATCGGCCAGATCCTGGAAGCGGGCACGTGCCCAAGAGGACTCGTCTGATTCGGACCGGAGCTTGGAGGAGGAGTATGATGATTTATGTATGGACCATTATAGTGCGGAATATTCCGATTCTGGATCCGAGGTGAAATTTCACACTGCGACCCAGCAGGCTACAGCTCAGGGCGCTGAGCCTGCCGTATCGGGCGAGGGCGACGATTTGCGGGACCCTCTGGGTAACCCGTTGTTTGACCCAGATAACCTCCGTCACCCTCGCTCGGCGGAATGGGAGCCGCCTGCGCACATTGCGAGGTACCTCGCGCTAAGAGTAGGAAAACCTTTTATCTAAGGAAGGACGTAACAAACTACGGGTGGAATGCCCACGGCCTATCCTTCCAGACTCAGTGGGAAAAAACCCTGACGTGGATCCCCAATTGGTCCAATTTTTTAATAAGTCGGGTTGGAAACCGAGGAAAGGTTTGGATTTCTCCCTTCGGAACTGCCAGGACAAGTTCCTGGACACTTTGGGGCCCATCACCAAACTTTATGAGTTAGTGGAATCTGCCCAATCAGGTGAGAATGACTTTGATTTCGAAGTAGCGAAAGGCTGGTTGCAGAGGTTAGTCTGCATGGTGGGTAACGCCAATACAGCCATGGCAACCGAACCCCGCAAGGCAATTCTCATGAGAATAGAGCCCAAACTGGTCAGTATGGCGACCAATGAGCCGGGGCCAGCCGCTAAAGGCTTACTCTTTGGTGAATCCTTCATTAAGGATCTTGGGCTGTACGTTGAAACATTTACAGCAATTGACAAAGCTCAGACTTCTCTTAAAAGAGTATTTGCACCTCGGGTTTTTGGAGGGGCCGGTAGAGGTAGGAGCCGTCTATCCGGCCGTGGATTTCGAGGCTCATTTAGAGCCGGCAGAGGCTCCTTTAATACCCAGAGACCGGTACCAGAACGAACCTACACCCCGTTCTTCCCATCTCGTGGACGCCCCTGGAATTCCCGCGGACCGCGGGGGTCTGTCTCAGGCAGACGACCTTATGGTGAGTACCGAGTATCTCCATTTTTCCCATATAAAAGTGGGGGGCAGATTGGCACTGTTTCACCATGCTTGGAAACTTCTAACCTCAGATGTTTGGGTATTAAATACAGTACAGGGGTACCTGATGGAGCTAGTCTCTTACCCTACTCAGGTGCAGTTCCCTCGAGAACTAAACATCAGATTGGATGGTCAAGATAGATTTACGGGATGCTTATCTGACAATCCCTGTCGCAGAAGCGCACCAAAACCTACTGCAGTTTCAGTGTCAAGGAACGAAGTGGAGGTTTGTATGTCTACCATTTGGTCTGTCCTCTGCTCCATGGTGCTTCACAAAGGTACTAAAGCCGGTGATTGCCTTCCTGCGCACACGAGGGGTCAGGTTAATAATTTACCTAGACGATATCCTTCTCCTGTCTCAATCCCAATTACGGGTTCATTTGTCTTGGACAACACACCTTCTCCAAAACTTAGGATTCTTGGTGAATTGGGAGAAATCTGTCCTTCAACCCTCCAGATACATGGAATTTCTGGGATTTCAAGTGGACTCTGTACAACAGAGGTTGTGCCTACCCAAAGACAAAATGATTTCGATCAAGAAAGAGATCAGACGACTTATGATTCGTACGACCATTTCCCTCAGACAACTTGCGAGGATCATAGGGCATCGTCCATACAAGCAATCTTCCGGGGCCCGTTACATTATCGTGCCCTACAAAGGCTCAAGGCCTCATATCTGCGCTCCGGACACTCGTACGAAACCTGTGTTACACTGGACGAAGATTCCAGAGAGGAGTTGACATGGTGGCTAGCCCACATGGAGGCGTGGAACGGACGGGTGATATTCGGGTCTCCGCCAGATCTGGTCATAGAGTCAGACGCCAGCTTACACTGCTGGGGCGCGCATTGTGGTTCAGTTTCCACCGGTGGCAGATGGTCCAACGAAGAAACGTTGCTACACATCAACTGCCTAGAACTGTTAGCGGCATCCTTTGCCATTCGCAGCATGACCCCCACAGGCATCTCATGCTCTATCCTAATCAAGATGGACAACGTTTCGGCGGTGCGTTATATCAACCACCTAGGAGGAACGAAATCGAAAGTTCTGGCACTGATGGCTCGAGATTTTTTGCACTTTAGTCTAAGACAACATTTCGGTAATAGCGGAATATATCCCAGGACGGGACAATGCACTGGCGGATTGGAATTCTCGATATCTTCGAGACGCAGGGGATTGGCATCTCCACCCAATGATCTTCCAACGTCTCTCTCGACTTTGGGGACCTCTCAACATAGATCTCTTCGCGTCTCGACTGAACACCCAACTTCCTCGGTTCTTCAGTTGGAGACCGGACCCAGATGCGCTGGCGACAGACGCATTCTCACAAGACTGGTCCAAGGGCAAGAATTACGCTTTTCCACCTTTCAGCCTAATCTCTCGGACCCTTGCATACCTTCGATATTCCAAAGGGACTATACTGCTGATAACCCCGATATGGAGGTAACAACCTTGGTTCCCACAGTTATTAGAAATGTCGATAGATTCCCCACGACTGTTGCCGGACATACCCTACCTCCTGACCAATCCAGAGGGAATGAGTCACGAGTTGATCGACCAGGGTCTACTTCGCCTGATGGCATGGTTCCTTTCAGGAGAACATGGAATCTCGAGGATGTTTCGCAGACAACACTCAGTCTCTTGGCAGAGTCTTGGGCACCAGGTACCAGACGTTCCTACGGGTCGGCTTGGAGGAAGTGGACTGATTGGTGCGTGGGACAATCAGTGGATCCCATATCAGCTCCTGTGAAAATAATTTTACAATTCCTGACTCTACTCTTTGAAGAAGGTAAAGCCTTTCGGACTATAAATCTATACAGGTCAGCTATATCGGCGAGACATATGGGATTGGATGGTACTCCAATAGGTAAACATACCCTCATCTGTCGTTTGCTCAAAGGCATCCGGTTTGCTCGACCCCCGCAGGCTCGGTATTCTTCCTTCTGGGATGTCAATGTGATTTTTCGTTTTCTCGAGTCTTGGCCTTTGAATCACGAATTTTCTCTTAAACAATTGTCAACCAAACTGTTGATGCTGTTTTGTTTACTTTCATGTAAACGGGTTGTTGATGTCAGAGCATTGGATTGGCAAGCACGCGCTTTTGTTCCGAACGGAGTTTCCTTCAATGTTTCACGTAGGACAAGGTCTACAACTAAGGAGGTTTTCTACCCGTCGTTTCCAGACAACCCGAATCTGTGCCCAGTGTTATGCCTTAAGGAATACGAGCGCCGCACGAGCTCGCTCCGTCCTGATCAAACCCATCCATTATTCATCTCGTTCAGAGTACCGCACCTACCAGTATCTACTCCTACTTTAGCTCGTTGGATCAAATGGTTATTATCCGTGGCAGGCATAGACACTTCAATTTTCTCCTCACACTCCATTCGCAGGGCGATGGATTCTAAAGCTTCCATGATAGGTTGTAGATTGGAAGACATCTTACGAGCAGCTGATTGGTCGAATGAGTCTACGTTTCGTAATTTCTACTTTCGACCAGTGCAACATATTTCCAGTTTGGTGGTTGCTCAGCTTTAAAATAGCATAATAGGAGCCTCCGTGTCTTTAATAAAATGTCCAGATTTTACTATTAACATGACGTAAAGTCATGATTTTATTAATGACACGGAGGCGAGTATTATTCCCTCCCGCCCTACCCAGGGTGGTGTTTAAGTTACAGGTCAGTCATGGGACCTTTGGAATGACACAATACGGTAGGTACAATGTCATACACGACACGAAGGTAAGGTTTGTGATGAATATACTTCTATATACTTATAGTGTTGGAATAACGTAGTGGTAGAGTTGGATAACTGTGGAATAGCAGTCGCAAGCCTCGATATTACCATATATTTCTTCTTTTTTAGCTTGAATACACCTATTAAAGTTGGCGGTTGAAGCGGTTCCCTGTTGAATTTCCGGTTATGGTTTTGTTTCGGGAATTCGTGTTTGTTGGAATATTTTGGAACTTACAATATGGTCTTCGGGATCTACACAGAAAGAGGAGGAGTCAAGGAGCACCACACCCATATGGATAATACTGGATGCTGATTGGTGCCACTGTTACCAGGCTGTTGTTATGTTTTTTATATGATTCTCTCATACTTCCTTTTCTTGCTGCTGGGAGTATAATAAAGAAAGAGAATGCATAATACTCGCCTCCATGTCATTAATAAAATCATGACTTTACGTCATGTTAATAGTAAAATCTGGGAATTAGACAGCATGATCATTGCACGGGTGTGCTTTAGCCTGGCCACGATAAAATACTGAACAAAATATGGTATAGGCTATATATCAACAAGTGGAGCACTATACAAATGTAAATATAAAATAGTGGAGGGGTTCACTTACCCCATTAAAACAATAACACACTTGGAAATATACACTTGGGGACACATATAAAAAGAAAAAAAACAGAAATATATAGTGCAGATGGTTTTAAGCAATAATTGGTGATAAAAGTAGATAACTACACCCTGTTCCAAATTATGCATATTCTATTTAAGTGTGACAAAGATTAAATATTTTGTTTTTCAGTTTAACTCATGGATGGCATTGTGTCTCAGGGCTCTTTTGATCACTGAAAACAATCTCGGACACCTGTGATAATTAGATTACCAGGTGAGCCCAATTTAAGGAAAAACTACTAAAGGAGGGTGTTCCACTTTATGAAGCAGAGCACCATTTTCATGCAATATGGGGAAGAAAAAGGATCTCTCTGCTGCCAAAAAGAGTAAAATAGTTCAATGCCTTGGACGAGGTATGAAAACATTAGATATTTCACAAAAACTTAGGCATGATCATCTCACTATTAAGAGATTTGTGGCTGATTCAGAGCACAGATGGGTTCGTGCAGATCCATGCATCGGATCAAGAGAGCAGCTGCTAAAATACCATTACATAGCAGCAAACAGATATTTGAAGCTGCTGGTGCCTCTGGAGTCCCACGGACATCAAGTTGTAGAGTCCTCCAGAGTCTTGCAACTGTGCATAAACCTTCTATTCGGCCACCACTAATCAATACTCACAAGCAGAAACAGCTGCATTGGGCAGAAAAATACATGAAGACTAATTTTCAAACAGTCCTGTTCACTGATGAGTGCTGTGCAGCCCTGGATGGTCCAGATAGATAGAGTGGTGGATGGCCACGCTGTTCCAATAAGGCTGTGGTGGAGTCATGTTTTGGGCCGGAATCATGGGAAGAGAGCTGGTTGGCCCCTTTATGGTCCTCGAAGGTGTAAAGATGACCTCTGCAAAGTATGTGGAGTTTCTGACTGACCACTTTCTTCACTGGTACAGAAGGAAGAACTATTCTTTCTATAATAAAATCATCTTCATGCATGACAATGCACCATCTCGTGCTGCAAAGAATACCTCTGCATCAATGGCTGCTATGGGGATAAAGGAGAGAAAGTCATGGTGTGGTCTCCATCCTCCCCTGACCTCAATCCTATTGAGAACCTTTGGAGCATCCTCAAGCAAAAGATCTATGAGGGTGGGAGGCAGTTTACTTCCGAACAGCAGCTCTGGGAGGCTATTCTGACATCTTGCAAACAAATTCAAGCAGAAACTGTCCAAAAACACACAAGTTTAAAGGATGCAAGGCTTGTGAAGCTGCTATCAAATAAGGGGTCCTGTGTTAAAATATTATGTGATCAGTTAAAATGTTTAAAAAATTAAAATGTTGTTATAAGTTTGATTGAAATAGCTTTTGATTTCAGTAAATATGCTGCACGCACAACAAATGACAATTTCCAGTTCTTTACAACCTAGAAAGTGTTTTGAAACTTACTGTGCATAATAATTTGGAACAGTGCATTGTAAGTTTTTTATGTTTTAAAAAAATACTGTTATCATTAGGAGGTTTGTTAAATAAAATTTGAATTGTACTCTTAATAGTTGATAACATGAGAATTATGCTGACTGTTATTTACATCAATTATTCAGGTAAATGAGAAAAATATAAGTTGCATAATAATTTGGAACGGTGTAGAACTACTCACATGGATTGGAGCCTATGTAATATTGGCTCTGTAAGATAATCCTTTTTGCTCTTTGGGCAGCAACATACCACTTGCTCAAAGATGTTCCTCCAAAGACATAAAACAATAAGGAATAGACTGGAAGTGCAGTATTGTATCAAAATGCAATTATTATACTTATGGTAAGTATTGTGCTCACCTTGATAAAAGCCTTAAGTTCCCGGTTCTAAGGGTGATCAGCAGTGTGCCAATTTCCTTGGGATGGCACTCCCCAATGAAGTTCCTGAAGGCTTTTTTGGACTCAATGGAATAATTAATTAAAAAAATTATTAGTTTCAATTAAAAACAAAGATGTACTAAATATATAGAATAAAAAGTCCAAAATCAGCCAAAACGTGTTTCACTCTTCTGTGAGCTTCCTCAGTCAGCTGTAGAGTAGCCTCAGGAATCTTCTGCTTTATAAATGTTCAATACACTGTATGAGTCCTCCCCTTTAGGGTCACATGATGTATAGTTAACCAATCATAAGTTTAGTTTTTTTCTTTCTATTATTGTATGAGTTAGAAGCACCTGTGCTTGGGGAACCCTTATTTGCTAATAGAATCTGCCACCCTCAAAATGTCTAATTGGTGAGTACTCTTTGGTGGTTTAGAGATGTTGAATTACAGAGGATCCAATCAGGTTTGTGGTTGGCGGAAGTGACGTTCGTCAAATCCGCCCTCCACTACAGGAAAAGGGGTGCTACATATGAAAGAATGCTTATTAGTGAACTTCATTGGTGGTCAGAGGTGTCACTCTAAGACCACTTTCCTTCCCTCTCACTGCTGGCGGAAGTAGACGTGACGCGGCAGCACCATTTTATTTCCTGGGTCGATACTGGATTGTAAAATTGTAGGGCCATAATCACAAGGTAAAAGGCTGGCAAGTAATCCTCTCCAAAACCCAGTGGTGACGTGGCTTTTGCCACATGAGGCCGGTTGGATGTACTGCCAAATTCTCTGAAACGCCTTTGGAGGCGGCTTATGGTAGAGAAATTAACATTCAATTCACGGCCAACAGCTCTGGTGGACATTCCTGCACTCAGCATGCCAATTGCCCGCTCCCTCAAAACTTGCAACATCTGTGGCATTGAGCTGTGTGATAAAACTGCACATTTTAGAGTGGCCTTATTATTATTTTATTATTTATATAGTTGTAACGAAAATATACCCCAACACACAGGATTTAAGCTAAACAAATGTCAGCACAGAGGGAAGGTACGTCTACCGGACCTTAGAGTGGCCGGACTTGACGTAAGGGAGAGAGATACAGAGTCAGGAGCGATCCGAGGTCAAGGGCACAAAGAGACAGCGTAAACTTGGACTAGCCGGGGTCTGGTACACAGAAAAGAGCAAGCCGGCAAACAGAACAGATAAGGATAAAGAGATAACGTAGTCAGAAACAAAGCCAAGGTCAAGTACGAAGGAACACAACTGAACACAACAAGCGCTAAAGGGAACTGAAACAGAAACCACAATACGGCAAGGAACTAAGGGAAAAAGGTGAGTATATATACCTAAACATCTAATTTGATTGGTCCCTGTCACATCCACGCCCTCAAAAGGTAAGTGTATGGGGAGTGTGGAATGACAGGGACCAATGGGATGCCTTTTCCAATTTTGGCTCCCACTGTCCCCCGCGGTGCGCTCTTAGAGTTAGGCGGGACACGTGTCCGCTTCTCGCGGTCACTGCCCGCCGTCCTGTTACAGCCGTCGGATGAGCCACGCGCGGCTCGTGCAGCAGCAGGACCGCGCGTGGCTCGAACAGAGGACCCCGGCCGGTCCCTGGAAAGGGTAAGTACCGCTACAGTACCCCCCGAGGACACGCCCTCCGGGCGGGGAGGGCCAGGCCTGGCAGGAAAACGAGAATGGAAAGAGCGCACAAGACGAGGAGCGTGAACCGCGTCAGCGGAAATCCAACTGGCCCATAGCCCTTCCAATGCACCAGGTACCGAAGTCGACCTCTAAGGAAACGAGAGTCAAGAACAGCAGAAACTTCAAATTCCTCATGACCCTCCACAGAGACAGGAGGGGGAGGAGGAGTATGCCGGGTATAGCGGTTGCGTACAAAAGGCTTCAACAACAAGGTGTGAAAGACATTAGGAATACGCAGATTCTTAGGGAGACCCAAGGCATACGAAACAGGATTAACCTTATGCAGAATACGATAAGGACCAATAAAGCGGGGAGCCAATTTCATATAAGGCACCCGGAGGCGAATGTTTCGCGTGGAAAGCAGAACCCTGTCCCCCACGACATAAGAAGGAGCCGCCCTGCGATGCTTGTCAGCCTGCACCTTCTGACGAGCAGCGGAATCCACCAAAGAACGCTGAACCTGCTCCCAATTATTACGCAAATTAGCCAAATGTTCATCAAGAACTGGCATGCCCTGTGTGGAGAAAGCAGCCGGAAGAACAACAGGATGCTGGCCATAGACAACGTAAAAAGGACTCTTGCCGGAAGAATCATGAGTAGCGTTATTCCGAGCAAACTCAGCCCAAGGAAGAAGGTCAGACCAATTGTTCTGATGGTGGGATACGAAACAACGAAGGTACTGCTCCAGAGATTGATTGGCATGTTCAGCAGCTCCATTAGACTGGGGTGGTAAGCGGAAGAAAATGAGAGAGAAATACCCATTTCCGAACAAAAGGCTTTCCAGAACCTGGAAATAAATTGGCTACCCCTATCGGATACAATAGATACGGGAATGCCATGTAATCGAAACACCTCTCTGGCGAAAATAAGTGCTAGTTCCCTGGACGTGGGCAGCTTGTGAAGAGACACAAAGTGAGCCATCTTGGAAAACCGATCCACTATCATTAGGATAACTGTGTTACAATTCGAAGGGGGTAATTCAACAATAAAATCCATGGACAGGTTAGACCAAGGTCTCTCGGGAATGGGTAACGGATGCAACAGCCCACAAGGAACCCTACGAGAAGATTTCATACAGGCACAAGTAGTACAAGCACCTATATAGTCGGTGACATCCTTGCGTAAGGAATCCCACCAAAAATACAGAGAAACAGCTGACACCATTTTGGAAATACCAGGATGTCCAGCAGTCTTAGTGTCATGATACAACGACAGAATCTCCCGTCTCTCGGGAACATCAATGAACAGTTTATCAGTAGGTCTCTCGCTAGGTGCCATGCTTTGTTTCGCTTGTATGGCCTGCAAGAGGGACGAAGAAATAGACAAAATAGTGGTAGCTATTATCCTTTCTGGGGGAATTACAGGAGTAACATCAATCTCCTGTTTGTGAGCAGTTTCGAACTGTCTGGACAGAGCGTCTGCTTTAGTTTTGCGGTCACCTGGCCTATAGGTGATAATGTAATTGAAATGAGACAAAAACAGTGACCACCTAGCCTGCCTAGAAGACAATCTTTTAGCCTCACTAAGGTAGGATAGGTTCTTGTGATCCGTAAATATGAGGATAGGATCCTTAGTTCCTTCTAACAAATGTCTCCATTCTTTCAGTGCTAAAATAATAGCAAGGAGTTCGCGATTACCCACATCATAATTCTTTTCTGCGTTGGACATTTGTTTGGAGAAGAAGCCACAAGGATGCAATGGCTTTTCAGGCGACTCTCTTTGGAATAAGACAGCACCTACCCCGATATCAGAAGCATCAACTTCAAGAATATAGGGCAGTGTGGGGATAGGATGCTGTAAAATAGGTGCAGAAGCGAACGTAGTTTTAAGAAATTCAAAAGCCTGAAGTGCCCCAGGAGACCAGACACGAGTATTGCCATCCTTTTTTGTCATACGGGTGATAGGCGCTACAATAGAGGAAAAACCTTTAATAAAGCGTCTATAATAGTTAGAGAAACCAAGAAAACGCTGAATAGCTTTCAAACCTTGTGGTAGAGGCCATTCCATGACAGCAGAAAGCTTCTGGGGATCCATATGAAAACCTTTAGCGGAAATCAAATACCCCAAAAACATTTTTCCAGTTTACAATAAAGACCATTAGCAAGAAGGGTCTTCAGAACTGTCGTAACATGCCTGTGATGAGTGTGTAAATCTGTAGAGTATATTAATATGTCGTCCAAGTACACAATTACAAATGTGTGAATAAAGTCTCTTAAAACGTCATTGATAAATTCTTGAAATACTGCTGGGGCATTACATAGACCAAATGGCATAACAGTATACTCGTAATGGCCAGATCTAGTATTGAATGCCGTTTTCCATTCGTGGTCTTTCTTAATACGTATTAAATTGTATGCACCTCTAAGATCCAATTTAGTGAATACAGTAGCATGTTTGAGCCTGTCAAATAATTCCGTGATTAAAGGTATAGGGTATGCATTTTTGATGGTGATTTTATTTAGACCTCTATAATCGATACACGGTCTTAAATCACCTTCTTTCTTTGATACAAAGAAGAACCCCGCTCCAGCTGGAGAAGAGGATCTCCTAATAAACCCCTTTTCTAATGATTCCTTAATATACTCCTCCATGACACGGTTTTCTTGAACAGATAAAGGGTACACCCTGCCCTTTGGAGGTATTGTGCCAGGCAATAAATCGATAGCACAATCGTAGGGTCTGTGAGGCGGTAATTTGTCAGCCTCCCTTTTATCGAAGACAGTTTTGAGAAATAAGTACTGAGGGGGTATAACAGTAGACA